TGACTAAGGCCATTTTGGTCGGGAAAAGCCCCAATTTCACTAAAACTCGTCTGAACCGTAGAAATTGGTGGTTCTTGATTCGACTCCGAACAAGCTTTGATGCCTCAACCAATGCACGGGCTTTGTTCTTGAGGTTGAGGGGAGTCCTTTGGTGGTGGTGTCGACGGCAATTGTTCTCGGAATCACCAAAAATGGGAGAAACCTGTCTAGACAATCGTGGGTTTTGTGACTTCGATTTGTAACATTGAGTTAGAAATTTAAAAATCCAACACCAGAGGGACGTTAGGTTCGCCAAGAGCTTTCCATAGACACCGAAATCACCTCAAACGGACATTGGATGGAGGAGATATGACCGGGTCAAGGAATCGAGTTTGCAGGTTGGAAACGGATCAAGGTGATCCAGTGCACCTCTTCCCTGTCATTTCCCCTCCTTTGTGAGTCTATTTAGAGCCATAGACTTGGTACGTGTGTCTAAGTGCATGAGTTGTCAATATTTTGTGGTTTTAGAGTGTTTATTCACAAGGCTAAGAAGAATCTTAATCATTTGGTTACAATATTTTCTATTCAATTTTGTTCCAAATCTTCCAATGAGGTGAGAACATATGGATTTGAAATGTAAGTGCAGACGTGTTCCAAGATCTCCTTAACATCCAGAACTAGCAGCCTTGATATGATTCCATTCTATATAAATGAAGGAGAAGAGATAAGGAAAGAACACGGGAGGGAGAACAACTACACACCAGTAACAACATAGCCAGCAAGAAGAAGAGCCATTCACCCCTTTAAGATTACTTTCTACATTTCTTTTACATATTGTTAAGGCCTTTAAGCCAAAATCGTGTATTGTAAATCTTCCATAAATAGTGAAATACAAATACAACCCTAGTGGACGTAGTCAAATTGGTGAACCACTTAAATCTCCGTGTTCCTTTGTCTAATTGCAATAAATTTGAGTTGGGCAAACCATTTAGTAATAAAAAACTGAGTTTTTAATAGAAACTTAATGGAAAAGGAGGATCGACTCAAGGAGGAATTGGTAAAATATTGCTTATCATTTACATTAAAGATTATTACTTTGTTGTTAATATTATGATTATATTACTCTTGTTACTAATCAAATTGATTTATGTTGAAGCTTGCAGGCTTGTTAGATAAAATGTGAGTATTGATATCTATATGAACATGACATATACATATATTGTGAAAAGTCATTAATAAAGAGAAGGAAGTAAGAGTGTCTCCATATCGCTTTTGTTGGAAATGGACCACACATATCTGTGTGAATGATTTCCAAAAGATCGCTGCTTCTTTTAGCTTTATTCTTGTTGGTTAAATTAGTGGTCTTGCCTTTAAAGCAATCTATGCAATCCTTGAAGTCATCAAGGTGAACATTTGACAACATACCATCCTTCTTAAGTCTCAACATTATGTCTTTGGAGATATGCCCGAATCTTCGATGCCAATATCATTAGTGAGCATTCTCTTTGCTGCAGAACGCACAATATTGAAACAATCATGATAATATGTACATTCAGTTTGCCAAAGGTCACCATTTGGGAAAGCATAGCCAATAGAACTATCAAACTAGTTCTTGAGATAAAATTTTATTTTATTGGCATCTCCAATATAAGAGAAACTATTTTTAACAAACTGAGTCACTGAAAACAAATTCCTTGTTAGTGAAGGTACATAAAGTACACTGTTCAATGTTAAAACATAACCAGATGACAGCTTCAACATGACAGTACTAACTGCTTTAACCATGACTTTATTTCCATTCCCAACATAAACATTATAGGATTATCTACTTGTCTCCTTCTGGCTTTGAAATCCCTGCAAAGAATTCGTTATATGGATAAAACATCTAGTGTCAAACCACCAAGTGTTTTGGGGTACAAAAACTATACTTGATTCCACAGTAACAAAAACATCAAAAACAGTCATACCTTTCCTGATTAACCATGCCTTAAAAGCTGGGCAATTCTTCCTTAAATGATCAGTGGATTGACAATGACAACACTTTTTTAAAATGAGGTTTTTGAACCTGTAAACCAAGTGAGGTAGAGGCTCCAGTAGTTTTGAGAGATACACCAGAACCTTTGAACTGTTTCTTGGGACCAATTGCATCATTTAGAGTGGTTCGAGATCCAGAGGGTTTGTTGCCCTTATAATTATCATTTTTGTTCCACACGATCATTTTCCCTTTGCCTTTGCCAGTATTGACAAGATTAGCCAGTTCCATTCTTTCAACTTTGGAATTCTTCAACCTCTCTTCCTCTTAACAACAGATGGCAATGAGTTCATTAACACTCCATTGTTCTTTCTGAGTGTTGTAGTTGACTTTGATCTAGTCATACTTTCCAGACAAAGAGTACAAAGCCATATGCACCATAAATTGATTAGTGATGCCAATTTCCATTGCATTCAGTTTGTTGGAAATGTTCACCATCTTCAACAAATGCTCACATACACTGCTTGACCTATCATGCTTGTTGTTAATGAGTGTAGAAAGTGATGCATCCACTTCTGCCTTGTCAGACCTATTAAACTTCTCCTCAATCTTAGCTATATAGTCTTTGGCTATGTCACAACTGGATATGCCACCTCTGATGTGTTCTTCCATTACATTCTGCATAATGAGAAGAGACATCTGATTGGCTCTTTCCCATTTGACAAAATGTTCCCTTTCTTGAGCAGTGCTTTCATTAACTAAAGTTATCGGTTGAGGAGTCTTGAAAGCAATGTTGAACTCAAGCATTCCCAAGTTCATTTCAATATGTTGCTTCCAAGTGTTGAAGTTGTTACCATTCAACTTCTCAATGTTAACAAGGTTAAGCATATTAAACTCTACATCATGAGACATTTGGATTGAAAATTCATAAGTATTGTAAAAAAGAATTAGTCTTAATTGTCTTGCCACTCTTAAACTATGAAACCAGTTACACCTTTAGGCAAGAAAATGTCCACAAAGCATATGAATTTCAACTTCATTGCATAGCCAAGTATAAGGGACATAATCTTATGTAATACTACACCTTTAGGCAAGAAGAATCACATAAGTACTTGATTTCATCACTCACTATACATCAATTCATAACAATCCCAGTAAATAAATCTCTTTGGAAATTTCTTAACTTGATAATATTATGAACTGCTATTTGAAGTACTGCTTATAAATGCATATAAATCTTTATACTTATTCGAACACTTTGGTGTAAGAGTTAAGTGAATTACATAATATCAATACTCAAAATTCAACACATATTCCATACGCATATATTTATGAGATGTTGGTATATCATTTGCTGCAGTGCGCATTAGTGCAGACTCTATGATAATCTGAGCATGTCTTGAGTCTTATTGAAGTAATATGAAGAACAATTATCAAAACATCAAAATTTAATTCTTAAAAATATGACTATATTTTGCTTTACAGATTGATGCATCTAGCATAAACCGATAATAAACATCAGGACATACTGGATCTCACAAATGTATTAACAGCAGCGGAAAGTTCATCATCATCACCATATATATATATAGCATAATTAGGTTTGAATGGACCGGCTCTGATACTACATGTTGGCCTTAGTTTGAGATCGATACCATCAAACCCTTGCTATTTAATATTCAGTAAATCTACGCTGTGCATGGACATTAAATGAACATGCATTGACCCTAATTACTTGTATACAAGGCTGACAAACCTAACCTGAGTTTGCAGCCATCTTTAGCACTCGATGAGTTAATTCTTAGGAGAATGTTTAGCCTTTTCCTCTCTTGTGATCACATTAGGATTCTCTGGTTTTCAATGGAACAAACGAATCTATATGGAACAAAGGATAGATCACGGAGAAGAGGGACCAAGCATCACTATATATACATTGCAACTGTTTCCTCCCATTAAGTGAGCAGTTGCAATCAATTGTCAAAGAAACCATAACCGCATCATTCTAATTTCAAATTAGTTTCTTATATTTTCCCTTCAAATGGTTGTTATCCAGTCACAACCCTAAATAAAGTCTTACTTAATATATAGCTCATATTACTTGTGTTATTGCACGACTTGGTGCTTGATCATGCTCACTAAAGAAAACCTCACAAGAAACAATCCGTCCCCGCCGCTTCCATCAACTCCAATTTTCCGCCATATTTGTTTTGCCACTTCCCGATCATTCTGTTCCTCCACCTCTGCATTCCCTTTCATCCTTGCAGTTGCATCCTTGAGCTTACCCGCACGACGATTTGCCTCTCTTTCATGTCACGTGGTCAGCCGGTCAGACGAAAGAATTCTCATACTTTCTAGGTCGTGTTACTTAGGTTTTATTTATCTAGATATAGAGTTTATGTTTACTGTATAGAGCCCAAGAGCCATTTATCTGTTGATGGGTCCATCCCTCTCTGGGGTTTCCCCCCTTATTGTGAGATGTGATGTGGGGAATTATTGTCAATTGGGTCTTGTATTTTGGCCCTAAGATATGGTAATGATAATGTTGTTGAGAGGATAAATAGCACAGGAAAAAGAGAAATTTTGTATGTGCTTATAAATAACTGAGTTATTTCTATATTTTCAATTGATTTTATAGTGAAACCTCAACTTTTTTCATAGTATCAGAGCATGTTGTCCCATCTCTAAAACCCAACGGCCACACTTGTTCCACATCATCCGATTTGTATGTCCACGTGCTGGACTTGAAAATTTGTCACACGTAAGCAGGTGTGTTGAGAATATAACCCCCACATCAGGAAAATAAGGGATCTTACATATGCTTATAAGTGATTGAGCTAACTTGTATATTATCAATTAATTTTATGATGAAATTCCAATCTTGTTCGAGTGTGTGCTTACATATATTAGTATTTCTACATTAATAATGTATTGTATTGTAGTTACATTTAAGAAGTTTATATCTTCTCTCTTCTGAGTAATGTGTGGGGGTGTACATTTAATCAACTCAGCGTCGATCAAACCATATGAAACTCTTCCAAACTCACCCTTAGTTTAAGCTCCAGCGACACATAAATAAATCTTAACAACAGTAGCAGGTAAGAAACAATCAGTCTCCACCGCTTCCATCAACTCCAATTTTCCGCCATACTTCTTTTGCCTCTTCCCGATCATTCTGTTCCTTCACCTCTGCTTTCCTTTTCATCCTTGCAGGTGCATCCTTGAACTTGCCCGCACGACGATTTGCCTCTGCGAATTATTGCTTTTCGTTTGGATTATAATTCCATAACATTCGACTGTGTTGATTTGATTGGGATTTGGGAATTTTGTACAGGAAACGAAGAATTTGCCGTCCCTGCAAACCGCATTGCCTCTTGAACTTGCGAACAATGTGATCAGAGTTAGTATCGAAAACGTCTTCACTTTCTTAGTATTTGTATACAAAAATTATCGTTTTGTGTAACATTTGAAATTGCTTGCTTGCTGTTGTTTTTGTGTTTGTAGCTCGAAGAGCTAAGTATGTTGGTCATCGGGTATGCAAATTCATTTTTTTGGTGATGAAGAACGTGTTTTGTTGTGACTTCTCAATGAGATTGAAGGTAACTAAGTAGGAACATCAATCATGGTAGGCCGTTACAAAATTCGACTTGCATTTGCCAATTTGTTTGCTACCATCACACTGCTACGTGGTGTTATACTTAAGTCCATGTAGAATCAATCATGTCGTGAACTCATATTATAACATTTGGATTAGAGCAACTCCCATGTGCCGGTGTCACCATCAAGCTAAGTATCTAGTGCATGAAAAATACAATAACACATTATCTTCTTGGTGTTTTGTTTCGTTAATGATGCAGCAACACAATACAGAATTTGTCGTTGATATGGTGCGGGGGGAATTCAAAAAACATAAGCATAAGACGGACCCAGAAAAGATTCAAACTTTGAAGGATGAGTAAGCATCTAGCATCTGTGTTTGTGTGTTTATAGTATGCACAAGGGTGATAAGGCTGTCAACCTTCATTTATAATATAATCGGTTCTTTATATATCCGTGCTAGTTTGAAACCGAATTGGATGATCAGTTCTCCAAATTACTGTCTTTTGATCGAATTCAATACTCCAAAACATGCTCTCACTATGCATGCATTTCTTATTCAACTTCGTTAATGGAATCTGAATTTGTCTTCCTTGATTTACAGCGCGGCAAGGGGACTCATAAACCATATACCGTTCGAGTCCGAGAAGATGTCCGGCCGAAAGTTCAGCAGCAAGAGCTAGGTCTTTTGATGCCAAGGTTTTTAATTTCCTTCTGAGATTCCAGTTTGTTGTATGGGATGAAGTTTTCGCTTTGAAATAGGCGATAACATTGTAAGCTTTAATGCTTTATCGCCTGTTTATGAATTGTGAATGCTTAGTTTCTTGGTAACTTTAATGAAAAGTTTCCAGTACTGTTCATTTTAATAAAAAATCATATTTTTACACTAAAAAGTTAATCCTATTACTTTTCACTTTACCCTTTATTTTGTCCTTATCGTTAAAACTCAAAGTTTTCAAACCATTTTCATTAGTTTTTCTTAGTTGCTTTGGAATTTGTTATGTGTGTTTCTTTCTTCATTATTTGTTTCCATTCCGGGTTTTTCGGCTGTTAGATCCTTGATCAAAGGATCCAATGACCAAAATCTAACTGCCGAAAATCCCTGTAGTAGAATTTTGACAGGGAAATTTATACTTAATTGTTTTTCTGCCGCAAGCTGATTAGGAATTCTCATTTTGAATCTAAAGATGGTTGGTAGTAATCTTGAAGATTAAAGAAGCGAAGTTTTACTCTTAATCTACAAAACCTTGTTGAAAAAAACTCACTGTGACTCTGCAATTAGGAGAGAGACTTACATGCAACCGGAACGCTACAATGACGGTATCTGAAGCCTATCATAGAATCATGCATGCTAATGAGGTTTAACTTAATATCACGTTATTGGTTCAGGATACTACCACCTTAGCCTTGTAGTTACGTGTTAGTTCTTCCCATCAATCAGGGAAAAAGGAATGAGTAGCATCCATGGGACCTAAAGTCCTCCTGAAGTTACGTAGAAAATGGTTCCCGCTGAGGTCCCAAGTCAAATGCCGTGAAAACTATAGCACACAACTTTATTTCCATGCAATTAAAGACTAGGGACACATCCTTCTTACTTTGCTTCTCGAATGCATAAATGGTAACGCGAATCACGCTCTCTGAATGGCCTCCGCGCTCAGAGAGCGCAAAACTGGTTCCCGTGGTGTAAGAAAACTTAGGAAAGGCTTTTAGTCGAAATGGTTTATGAGATTGGCATAATTCATCCTCTTGTTCATTGAGATTTGAAATCGATAAAAATAGTTCCTGAGTTATCCACCGTCAATCATTTTAGTCTTTCTGTAAAGAATCTATTAAATAAGGACTAAAATGATAACATACCCTCAATTAATAAACAATGGCCAAAATGATTTGACAAAAATTTTGAGATATTGTCATTTTCTTCTTATTTAACAATGATTTTTCACGGCATGACTAAAATAATTGACAGTGTACAACCTCACGCACCGCTACTATCAATTTCAAATCTCTGAGACCAAAATAATAAGTTATGCCAATTCCAGATACCATTTTGGCCAAAAAGCCTGTTAAAAATGAACGTCGATACGCCGTAGAGTTTCTTCATTTGGCTAGAAATGATTTAAGTGCAATATTTCTTCATATTTAACACTGTTATGAATGGACTTCGTTACAACTTACAAATCTTCTCCCATCAAATTCAGAACAATTTACAACAACAATGATCCCAAATTTAGAAATTGCGTCGAGTAAAAGCAGAGCAGGGGAAAATGCCATTTTACTCTTGTAGTAATTTGACTTTAATCTGCAGGCAAATACTTGTTCTGTCTATATCTGAGTTCTAAACTTCAACCGATCTTCCTTAAGTTAGATGATTTTGGTTCTCCGCTTCTTGGACTAAATGGCCCTTTTCCGCCACCCCGAGGACTTTGGTCGCCTCTCAGCTGGCTTAGACGAGGACTGATTACCTTGTCCGAGAAGCTCAGTGTACTTTTGAGTTCCTTGGATGATGCTGTAGGTGAACTTGCCACTTTAGGACTGCACACATGCCTGATCTCACCCCGGCTTCTCGTAATCATCCCATCTAAAATCTCTCCTTCGTCTGCAAATGAAGCTGTCCTACTCATCTCCCGCTCCTGAAAATACACATGGAGATTAATCACACAGATAAACTGGGTCAGGAATTGTTGGAAAAAAATTCCGAAAGGCTTCTATTCAATATCCACTCCTGTGTTTCCGGAGAAGTAACAGCAGATTGCAGACTTGTTTATCAAAAAACTGTGTGAGACAAAACCAAAAAAAAGGTATCCGATTGGAAACTTACAGTTGCATGGTTGAATGGCAAAGCAGGTGCCTCTTCATACTCTGCGGCATCTAAATCTTGCAGGTGTGCCGCTTTGAAAAACTTGGGCAAAATGTATTGTCTAACAGGAACCAGAAGCATGATCATTAATGGGAAAAGAACCCCAGCAGTAGGAACCCATGTAATTCCGAAGCAAACAAGCAAGTAAGCAGTTTGGAAAATGGTTAACGCTGCAATTGTCTTGAATGGTACTGTTTCAACGAAAGTTGCGTGGTATTCCTCGAGTACTCTGAACACGAAAATGAATGCAGTTCAATTAAAAAAAATTTGACAAATTGAGATAAGCAAAACAAATTGAAGGATGTATCAGGAGAGAAGGGTCAAGAGAATTACTTGTATCTTCTAGTTGGGGCAGTGAAGAGCAACAGAATCCTCTCCCAACATTGGTTACCCGGTAAGTTCTCAACAGCCATAAAGGCAAAATAACCCCAGAGTACTGATGTTGGGATCATTTTAAGAAAAGGCATGGCCGCAACACATCCTCCTACAAATGCAGCTTGAAGCAAGTTGCTGAGCCGCTGCTCCTTCACCTCAACAGGCAATAAATCATCGATCTCCTTCTCAACATCAAACACTGTCTCAGCAACTGGGGCATCTATGTCACCCATGCTTGAAGCCATTTGAACAGTTGAATCTTTCAAGTCATTTAATCCCTGCTTTGTGGGACAACGGTTAGCATTGTTTATGCCATATGAACGAAAAAAAAGAAGGAAAAGGGGAACGGCATATCAAGTCATCGTACCCGAGCTGAAGGTTCCTGGTATGCTAGTGGGGTTTGCATCTGTTGATATGATTCTTGCATGCTTCCATATACTTGTTCCAAGCTGGCATTGTTCCTAATACATCTCCTTGCTGTCGCTACAAGTCGATTGCGAAGTAACTGCAGCAGAAGCAAATATAGTTGTAAAGATAATCCAAAGTTCTAAACCACATAAAAAGAGTGCACGGGTGTGAGTGTCAGAATGTGCATCTCCATGTTCCGAACACATTCTAATGCTTAATCTCTACCCTGTTGGGTTCTTAAGGGACAGTGAGTTTGTATAAAACTCACAACTTCTCGTTACAGCACAAAGAACAGTGAGGTTGAACCACTCAATTAACGTATGCCTACCTGGTGCTTCAGTGTGGCCAAACTTTTTGTATGCATTGGAGATTGTGGTATGACACCATTGGATGGAGGAATGCCTAAGAGACCACATATTATGACCTGTCATGTAGCAAAAACATAGTAATCTCAAAGCAAACGGATACCAGTTGAACCATTTTTTTTTTTTTTTTTTTTTTTGCAACTTCTAGGAGGGGGATTACAGAAAAAGTGACTGGAACTGTGAGGGGGATTTGCATACCATAAATCCTAAGAGAAGTAGATCGTAATGGAAAGAAGGTGGTTTTCTCAAATTGAATTCCTTCTGCTGAGCAAGTTGGGAAGCCACACTGTGGTCAAAATAGTACAACACTGCAATCATTGTTGCCGGAATGAAAGCTCCAAATATAAAAAGCACCGGCACATTTAGCATGTCCTGTAATTTTAACACACCATTAATACCCTGATGTGTCAAGCGGAAAACCATAAAGAAGGTAGAGAATAAAATGTAGGATGTGGCAGTGCCTTGATGACAGTCCAATTCTCGTATGACCCTGGTGACCATGGATTTGGACTGAAGAGGCGCCTTGGAATTCCTTTTGGGACATTTCCAGCAGGTATATAGGAAATAGCAGACCAGATCAATACCATCAATGGAACGCCATAATCTGCTATGAAACCTCGTAGCCATCCTGTGAGAGGGAAAAAGCTAATGGCATCAGTCTTTTGTAGCAAAGTAATAAATCGAGATTATACATGTGTATATGTAACTCCAAACAAAATAACACTTGCCTGATCCATAACGCCAAGACCTCGCTTTTCTGCTTCTTAATGAAGTAAGTAGAAGGCCAAATGACAGAACCAAAGCAAACATCCCATTTGCAAATCTCCATGAAGGTTGAAATTGAACTGAGTTTGGGTTTTCTCTTTCAGGTATGCGGAACTCATGAACAAGTCCCTATAATATAAAATTCAGAACTATAGCTAGAAAAAGGTGGAACTAATCCACCAATGCTATCTATGACCGACAGAAACTACAGAAAATCCAAGTGAAATAAGCAAGTAATATTTCTGTAAGCAAATAGAATGCAGGAATAGGAAGAGATGAATTACTTTTATAGCTTCCTGCATGAAGAGCATTGCAATGAGAAGGCCAAATAACTCTCCTGCAAGACGAGTGAATCTGTTTATGATGGAGCAAGCCCCTAATATAGCCAGCATAAACAGCAATGCTGCAGTCCAGACGCACACCCTGCACGTCAATATAAACTCATAAAGGCAGATCCAGAGTCAAAAGAGTTGGGGAAAAAAAGAGAGTCTAAAAGGGATAATTGCAAGATAGAGATTAATGTTACAGCAGAAATCTCGATATCAATTCATTTATTAGCACAAAGAAAATATGATACCATCCACTCCATGCTAAAAAGAGCTTTGATCCCAACTCTGGTCTATTTTTAGCAAAATTGAACATAAACGTGTACATAATCACAGTTGGTTCAGCAACTCCGAGAATCAGCAAAGGCTGACCCCCAAGAATCGAGTGTATAATTCCACACAAAGCCGTAGATGCTAATGTTTGAACTGCTGTGAGAACCCCACCTGTGAACACCAGAAATGATGCCAAAACATAAATTTCAAACTCTAATGCATAACCTGTAGAATGATAATTTTAGACGTTGCTTATCAACGTCTGATATTAGGACAATTTTCAACTCAGACTGAATGGAAACTGAGCAACAACAACAAACAATACCGAAGTATCCGGTATAAAATGTTACCTGTATCTCTTTCCAATTGTTCTCCAAATGAAATAACCGGAATAGCAGATGCAAAAAAGATATAGGTGGTGGGCGCCAAAATCCTGAGACAGTTAACCAAGTTACCAAGCCAGAATAACATTCCAACCAAAATTTGGCAAGAATCACAGTTGAATTTGATGTGGAATCCTGTATATGATAGCAAGTGAAGGATATACCTGAAGCCTGCCTTGAAACCACTAGTCCAATCTTGCTTGTAACACATCATTCTCCCTTGAAGATCATTCTTAATTCCGCGAAATGGTACAAACGTCTCTTCCATGGTTTCACTTTCTTGAATGCCAAAGATACCAAATCTCAAAGTGCAGTCAAGGAATCAAGACAAGATCTACAAAAGTCAGACCATTACCAAGGTGACTGAGGTGAGCTTGGAAGAACCGACTACCCAAATCTACATTAAACAAGCAAAGATATCAATGTGTCAACAGCAATAACTGAACTAAATCGAATTGAATCGAATCTCTGACAGATACAAGCTGATTAAAAAATTGGTAAATCTTGATTCTTGCTGTTTAAGCACAACCCCAGTACATCATATAGTCCAAGAAGGATTAGACACAAGGTTATAAGCACGCCAACCTTGAAACCCAGATGAAAAATGCAGAGAAATATTCAGAAAGAGAGTGGCATTGGACTACTAAATCCAATCAAAGACAGCCCTTTTGGTTTGTTTTAGGGTTGGAAGCAAAGCTCCAAATATATAAGCTTGGAAAGTTCTGAGAAGGCAAAGTTGTAGATTTGATGCTAAATAGTAAATGCGGGTCAAAAACAAAGGAAGAAAACATCACCATCACAGCCAAACTGCAAAGAAAAGAACAGAAATCTCCCCACAAACCCAAAGAGAGAGAGAAAAAAAAAAAAAAAAAAAACAAATCTAGTGCTTTCAGTGTAAAAGCTGAGAACGTAAAAAAATACGTAGAAAACAAAAAAGGATAAAGATTTAAAGCAGATGCAGCATGAAATACTTACTTCAATCAGACACAGAAAGTGGTGGTGATGAGAAAAGAGAGAAAAGGTAGCTGCTTAAAAAAGAAAGCTGCTTTTCGTGTCTGTGATTTCCAGGTGCAAGTGACTCAGAGAGAGAAAGAGAGAGCCAGGCCTGTAATAGTTTCTCTCTGTTGTGTATACAGTATACTGTATAGCATATTATTGTTGCAATATACTAATACTTACATTAAAATATTTTGTGTTAAATATGGAAAAGTATATATGTTTTTTGTAGTGTATTGTGAGTTGCCTCGAAGCATCTCTACCTCATATTTTGATGGGGTAAGATTCTCTCATCTTTTATTACCATCCACTTACATCTCCACCTCTCATATTTTCTTTTTGTCTTATTTTCTATGTAAAAAATTCAAAACAAGATGTAAACGTAGCGTAATCGTAATCGTTTAAATAGGAGAGGATGGAAGGAAAGAGAGATTAAGAGAGGAAATAATCTTACTCCTATTTTTATGGGATGTCGGAGAAGGCCAATTTAAAAAACAACTAGCCATGTTTTAGGTTTCATTAAAAATTAAAATATTCTTACACTACTGCTTACACACTGGGAGCAACATGAAGTTCTCAATTTTTTTATTTTATTTTAGTGAGTCTTTCTGCTTTCAAAAATATGGATTGCCGTGATGCCAGCATATCTTATTTTTAAGAAAATGGAAGAAAAAAAAAAAAAAAGAAACTGCCCGCCTAAAAGTTGTTTGTTTCCAATTAGCCAAGTAATTTGCCAACTCTATGATTAATCAATTTGTTGAGTGGGACCGATAATCCCTCTTATGGTCGTTTAGATCTAGTGAATTCAAACTTGAAGCTCTTTCAGGTGTTTAATTGTGCTCTGTATCGTCCTAAGTGTATCTCTTCATAGCGGAAGTATGGGATTTCTAAGTTCATGGCAAATGTACATAAAGTGAATGAAAAAATATGATAAAAGTAGCACTATTAGGTGGAGGCAGATTGTCTGGCCTCCTGTTTGAGTGTCATTCTCATTCCTTTTTATTTATGCCGTCATGGTTAAGTCGCGTCAACATTTTATATTAATATTTTTTTTGTCTTATTATTACTATTAAAAAATTAATATAAAATATTGATATGGCTTAACCGTGATTGCACAAAATAAGAAAAAATAGGAAGGTATCCAAACAGAAGGACGGACAACATGCCTCCCTATTAGGGTTCTATTTATGCCGAGTAAAGTTGACTGCCAATGTGAACAAGTGAATTTCAATCATAATCATGCTTATGACAGATCTATGATCATGACAGAGGATATAGACAATGCATTTCGTTTTCTTCTTAACCTTACTGCATTCGCATTAACGCGGAAACATTTTTGTTAAAGTTTAGTTAAATTTGAAACTTTTTTCAACTTTTTATTGACACATCAATGTTCAAAAGAAAAAAATCTACACGTGAAAGTTGAGTTCATAGAGATATATACTTAACCAGCTGAAATACATACGCCTTGAATATTTCTTTCAATTTCAAAGAAAAAACATCATCAGACGAAAAGCTAGTTGATCGTGCAAGTGAAGCGTGCCAAATACAAAATCTTACTCATAGCTCATATGTGACATGGGTGAATTCTATTTACCTAGAAAATGACTCCGCAAATCTGCAATAACTTACATACAACGTTTAAATGTCGTGGTTAACTTATGGGACCCCCTATAGGCCCTGGGGACGTAATCTGTGTGCTGTGAATTTTGTTTGTTTTCGAATTTTCCATCCACCTACCATCATTGCCCATCATCAAAGTGTTTTTCTTTTTTTTTTTTTTTTTTTGAGAAATCATCAAAGTGTTAATAACAAGAAGAAAGCCTTTTTCCAATCGGAACATCTTTCTATTCACTGTTAAGTTACACAAAATATTTTTCTATATGTCCGGAATATGAGATGGTACGTTATATATCGCGATACTAATAGGTAGAGGGTTTTTTTTCGATTGTTCCTTCATTTGTACAATAACACGTAACTTATGTATTCATATTCCGGAACACACTGAAAAATCTCTCTAGTTATATAACTCGACCTTAACATAAATAATAATTAATAATGAGAATAATAATTCAACCCAAAAATCCTTTTGCTTTGATTATTATCTCTGGTTTTCTTTATAAAAGCGGATTCATGATTTTCAATCATTTCTTGTATGCAGCTACCAATTTAGAATCGTTTCTAGTCCATAAAGTAGTGACCATTATTGTTCCAACAAATTCATTGGCAACGTTGGAGATGTAGAAATACTTAAAACAATCTGGTATATTGTGAAGATTCAATTCGGAAAATGATTTTCAATTCGTTAGTTCTGTAAATTTTCTTTTATGTTTTTCTATCTTTATTTAGCAGAAATTCTCCAATGCGGAACAAATCTTGCGAGATTACAATTGCCACTTGACCGACCGACTAGTTAACTCACGTCCCGCGACAATCCCAAGTTCGAGAAAAGCATTTTACCAAGAGAAGTTGTCTTTTCATTTATCACCGTGACAAACAGGGCAGGGCACAGCTTCATATCTCTCGCCACCAGTTTTGCAAACCGTGTTACCAAATGTAACTTAACCAATGAGGATCCTTTCCGGATTCTCTTTTGCGAGAATTCAATGATCCTTCAATCGTGTCCATTTATAATATATCATACGATTAATTTTTATTAAGTATTGTTTATATTCAATTTTAAATAAAAAAATTACAATAATTTCTAACTGCACAATGTACATATACGATTGGAGGATTCTCATAATCTTTACAAAGAGGATCCTCATTCTAACTTAACAAGCAAAAAAAAGCAAAAGTAAAGATTGGAGGGACACGTGTGAGCCACATATTCCCCAATTGTAGTCCAACAGTGAACCTCCAAATCGTTCCTTCAAGCACGCCGAGAGTGAATGCAAAAATGTAAAGCCGATGGAGACACAGATGCACCGAAAATATATCTACCACTTCCTATATCTCTCGTCATAACAGTCAAGAACGAGGCTGATATACCAGTGTTGATAGTTGTCCCACATCAGTGAGGGATAAGATTTGTTATGTGCTTATATGATATTGGGCTACTTTCCATATTGTCAATTGGTTTTACGATGGAATCTCAATTTCATCATGGTATCAGAACGGGTTATCCTTGTGTGAAGCCAGACGGCCACACGAACTTCACGTCACCCAGTTGTCGTCCACATGTAAGCTTAAAAATCCGTCACAAGTTGTCCCACATCTTATATGATATTGGGCTGCTCCCTATATTACCAATTGATCTTATAGTAGAATTAATTATCATAAACCTTGCAATTTACGCACACAAATTAGTCAAAATATGTTACTGCTATCGTTTTTTCGGTGTGTGAGTGAGCGCGTGCGCGTGTTATCTGGAAGTGGCGTGACATTCTCAAGCTCCTGGAAGTGGCGTGACATTCTCAAGCTCAATTTTTCAAGAAAGAACTAGTCTACTTATTCTTAAAAAAATAATAGATGTACCACAAAATCCATGAGGAGCATACAAACTGTCAGCTCTTTCTTTCTGACATAGTTCTCACGCGTTGCAAAACACGAACAAACTCATAAAACAAGGAGAAGTCAAAACCTGGGACAAAGTCACTCTCTGGAGGAAGCTTAGAAATTGAGTCACTGCACGGCTGCTGACAAATGATAAAATCAAAACCACCGAATTTCCTCATCAAATTTTCAAGCTTGTTGCTTGTCAACTTTTGAACATCTTCGATTTGCTCCAAGTGCCCAGTCTGTCTCGTTGTCTCCCACCACCTCCTTAGGATCTTCCTCTTCGTTGCGGAAGTTTCTACAGATACAACTCCTTTCAATTTAATGCCAAGCCGGTGCAAAGCAACTTCGACCCCACCTATTCCACTGAAAACTGAGAAAACTGTTAATCCTTCTGGGTACATAGACTTCAGAGCAGAAAGATGATAACCCAAAGTATCTGTCTGGAAGCAATATTTAAGTGAGAGAAGCCTTTCTGCTAAACTGCATTCGGGAACTTGAGTGTGACTCGATGGGTAGCCTAGGATGCGCTCTAAATATTCAGGCTCTATAGGGCCTAATTTGTGTTTTCCAACCCACACAAGATTAGATGAGCGACAATGATGAATGATGTCCCTTTGTTGCTCAGGAGAGGGCAGTCCATGAGAATTCGAAAGCAACCTTCCAAGCCTATCACAAAGATTAGATATCCCACTGGTTTCAGAACTGATGCACATCACTTGCTTCCTTGTATCCCACGAAGGCCACCAGTTCTTGGTATGTGGCATTGCATCCTCAATGGTCATTGGTGGCTCAGGAACAATGCGAAACCTGTTCTCCGTGGGGAGATTGTGTACATAACCTTCCCTTCTACTCAAGGACGAGAAGAATTGAGTATTCACGTATTCAGGCTCAAGACCATACAAGAACTGAGAAATTTTTGCCCAGGAATCATATGCTAAACTCACAATATTTCCATAAAAGAAATATGGAGGTTTAGCCACCATTAGGTTCACACTTTTGCCAGGATTGTTGTTGAAAAGTTTTGGAATTCCAACTTTGCCAGTTTCAGGGTCAACTTTTTCTTCCATCCATGTTGGGTCAAGGAGAGAGTTTGAATTATGAACGTACTCTTGTTTTGGCCTTTTCCCTCTACGCTTTTCTTCAGCTATCTGCCTGGACGACCTGAACTGAGGAACAGCATTCGGAACAACATTTGAATCATCACCACTAAACTCTTGCTTAGGCCTCTTCCCTAAATTGTTTGTTAAAATACCACCCCTTGATTGAGAAACTGCATGTGGATAGAATTCCTCGTTTTCAACTTTAACTGAATCATATGATCCTGTAGCATAAAATCTGGAACCTGTTGCACTGCGTGAAGGGGCTGAGTACTGCGCCAGATATATTGTTCCAAATATTAGTAAACCAACCTAAATGATGAATGATATAGACTATACAGTTTCAGAAATAAGCAGTTATGAGAGAAGCAAACAAGCAATGACTAATGAACATAGCCATTAGAGATGGAAAATTATATTTTAACTTCTGACTTGTAAGAGTAAATAAACAGAGACCCGTAAAACATGCACGAGATTATGCATATGTGCTTCAACAAGGAGATCCAAAAATTGGTAAGGCCATCTAGGACCATTTAATTTTAAAACAAATATATCATTATTCGAAGGTGAAAGATTAGGATTAGGTTAAGGTTGTCAACACAATTTGGCATATCTCTCATATATACATAATGTCATAAGTATTTCACATTAGAATGAACTACTTGTAGTCGCACTTTGATAGCAAAAACCACTAAAAAAAATTTATAAGAAGCTAAATAAATTATCCAAACACAGCATGTCGGCATTTGAAAAGTCATTAAATGATTATAAGAATGCATCCCGACCTTAGTTTCTTCATAATAGTTTCCAGAAATTTGATATTTAATGATTGAGTCCGCAAGTTCAGAAATTGGAGCTCCTGAACCTGAAACAGCAAATGACTGTTAAACATGATTAAGTAATAAGCTAATAAAATTGTATCACCCTGCATAGCAACAAGATGGAGTTAATCATGTTGTCGTCACAAGTGATTCATCCCCTTCAATTCCAGTAGAGAACATCCAACAATTCACATTTCAAAGAAATTTGTTGTGTTGAAAGCAACTTGGTTGCAATGTCACCACTAATGATTATAATAGCATAAAGGTCAGGAGAAGTACTATTTTTACAGTTACAAGTTACAGCGTTCCACTGAAAAATATGATTACGTTTAAAGTAAAATGCAACCAATTACGTTCTTTCTTTCCAGGTCTAGTGGAGCAAATTATATAAAAGACTCACCAAACCTTTCAATTACCCAAGAAACTTGATTCTCGGAGAAACCCATTTCAAGCAGACGGAGTGTCTTCTCCATGGTCCCATATAATTTTTCATCATTAGCATCCTGCGAATCAGAAGGTTAGATTATTGAACAGTACAATACAAAATCACAAAAACGCAAACTTGATGAAATAGCTACTGGACAACGTGGCAACTATGTAAATGCATGTTCTAGCGACATTTTTGCAAACTTGTTGCTTCAAAAAAGAACATTTAATGAGAGAGGAGAAAAATCCTACCCTAGACCATTGTCATTATGACACGTACTTAAAATCCCTTCCTCACCGTACCGACTTCTGTATGATTGCTTAAGTTGGGGATGATGAGTTCAAAGGTGAAAGGTAAATTTTGTTTTCAGTAATCTCTTATTTGAAATCGAACTCTAAATGTAGACCTTGTTTAGAAATAGGACTAGATAAAAAAATGCAACATATTTTAAGAGACTATGGACAGATTTAACACAACAATGTCCAGTTCCATAAAGTGGCATGGAAAAAGAAACATAACTTACATGGAAGAGTTAAATTATCTGATATGTTATTATCGTGGTTTTCATCTGAAATGTTATTACCATTTTGGCATCCAAAGTGGCCAAAAGAATTGATAGATTTACTAATGCCAGGTTTATTATTTAAGGTCCAATGGGACTAGCGAGCAAAGTTCAACTTTCTACGAACTATATGTGTCATGCATATGCATTAGTTTTTATCTTTTCCCAAAAGACTTGAAGCATATATTGGACAAGTATCGCACAAATATAATTAATTTTGTTGCCAATATCCAAAATGTCATGAGATGGAATAACAATTTAATCAAGGATCATAGACCTCATTTTTTTCTTCACCACCATGAGTTGTATCATCTACATCATTTTCAAGTTTGACTGCTGTCTGAGCAGCAAAAATAAAATCCACCAAGTCATCAATTGGAGCGTCTTCACCTGATATGGAGCACGACGAGATTAACCACACTATATTGAAATGTTGAACATACTATCGTAGGAGATTGTAAATAGCAGGACTAAAAAGAGATAAAAGCCAGCAATACTGATTCTTTTTTAAAGAATTTATGCAAGTATTAGAGAAGTTTAACAAACATGAATATGAAATGAATTGTGCCATCTAGGCGTGTGCCGAAGCTTTCTTGATTGTGTATTAAACTCATAAAAATATTCACCATACCCACGCTCAAAAAATTCAAGACCCATACAGAGTTTGAACAGATTCCTACTTTTACAGAAGCTTTCTTATGTTACGTACTCAAGTTCCAATAATGTAAGTTTGTGGAGCTCTTCCCCTGGTTCAACATCTGTGAAACTGTTAACAGTAATAGCCCTAAACTTAACAGGAGGTATAGATTGGAATAAGCTTCATTCCATATCAATCCTTAATCCAATTACACAAGAGTGTATTCAGATACGCCTCATTAGAGGAGCCTAAAACCAAACACATTGGGATTTATCCACGTAACACATAAAAACTTATGGAAAGTACGTGGAATTGCAGACTAGTCATGAGCACAAAAACTGTCAACCAGTAAGTGTTCCCTATTTTTACTTTTCAATATAAAAAACCAATACAAGTCAAACATTTGCATTTAAATTAAAATTTAGAATTTTCAACCTACCAAGCTTATCAATTGCAAACTCAACTTCGTTTGGAGAAAAATTCATCATCAGTAAGGATGCCCTTTTTTCCTCATTAAGTCCATCTGGCAAATCTGGCTCCTGCCAAAAGTTAAAGAAGCCTTAGCATGTGCAAATTAAGACAAAAAATCACATTAAAAAATATATATATATCATAACATGATATGCTCCTTTTATCTTCATCACGACAAGAGAGGCAACTTATTTGCTTTATTAGAAAATTTCCACATAAGTTAAGCTTGCTATGTCTTAAGCATCACAAAGCACTTGTCACCGAACTGCATAATCTAATTTCAGTCACAACACTACTGGAGCATTGGAAGTCACTAGCATAGTTACCAGTGACTTGTGAAGATCAATCACAAAGAGTATACTGGGTACGTAAACCATAGATTCAGAAAACAAGATCACAGTAGTTTTCTCAGGTTACCTCTTTTGGTTCAGCAATATTAGGAATCTCTGGATGACTGCTTACATCCTTGTCATCAAATAAGCTGTCCAGAGAATCAGATGATCCAGAATCTGACTTTCGAGAATCCTATTCATTCCAAAATAGGTTAACTATAAGCATTCAAAATTCCTTGGTAAATACATGACATGCACTTATAATTGAAAATTCAGTGATAAATTCACCGGCCCTCCCACATGCAAATTATCAAGGGACTGAGAGATGTTGCACCAATGCTAGGATGTTCTCTTCAGTATTTCGAATTGAACTAACAAATGATTCTGGGAAAACCATTCAACTAAAAAACATATACAATAGGAACGTCAACAAAAAACATGTCACTTACTGGATACGACAAAAGGGTCTCCAATAACAACTCTGTGTCGCCTTCACCTAGATTTGAAGAAAAATACTCGATCATCAAAATTTTGGAGGAAAAAAAAACATTATCAGATTGCGAGATCCGGATAATGATAATAACACAATGAGTGCATTAAATGGGATCCATCAAGACTCTGTGGGTGTACCAATATGCGTGTGTGCACGTACTCAGCCCACGTCCAGTGTTATTTACTTCTAATATTCTAAATCTACAATGCCACTGTTAACCCCACCAACCCTCACCCATATTTAGTAAGATCAAATCTAATAGAGTTCACAGTTTGGCATGACCTACCCTTTTCTTCAATCACTTTGTCCACAAGTGATGGTGAAAATCCCATTCCAATCAAATCTGATCTGGAATTGCTACCCGATGAACTTGCGACATTGTTCTGGAATTGCAAAGGAAGAAAAAAAAACAAAAGTAAGCGAATAACAAGGATTATATAACTTATCTCATACATCATTTCTCAGCCAGTTTCAAAATTCTACACAATTGACTTAGTTAGATATATCATATATGGTGAAATTTCTTCATATGAACTCGCAAAAGTATCATAAAATGGTGGCTGTACCCCGAAATGGTCTGAAAATGCAGGATCTGAAGGCAACTCAGAATCCAAGATCTCTTCTTTAGGCACAATTGCCTTCTCATATTCCTGTTCTGATGAACTTTTTCTGTTTGAGTAATTTGTCATATTGACCTATACAGTAGAAATAGAGAGCACATAAATACACGGATGACATTGAACCATCTCCAAAGGATAATGTAGGACTAGTACAAAAGCATACCTTTTCCAAAATGAAACAGATAAAGCAAAGATAGAAAAGATGAGTTTACAATCGACAACAAACCGCGTAAGCTAGGCCGCCAGTCACCCTCTACAAGAAAACAACCTTCAAGTTTAGACCTTTCAATGGGGAGTGAACCACCAAATAACGTCTTGATTCGTAAGGTCACCATTCAGCAATATCTAGTTGATTATATAGTGCGGCAAATCGTTGTCTGCATTATACTAGTAAGCTACAAACCGCGAAATCTATGTATCTAACCAGTCAGCCCTCTTTTGTACTTTCGCATGAACCACATTACACGACACGATGCACCTGTAACGAACCCTAGCGAAAGCGATCGAGCTTATGAAGCCATGCATTATATTTCTTACATGAAATGAAAGTGCTACATTTGCAAACATACCAAATGCTCAATGTGCAATTATGGAATAGAATCATATCAATAATCCCCATTAGCAAAGTAAATAATTCAGCTAACTCAAAATTCACATACCTAATCACCAAATTAGTCATGCAAATTCATACAATTAAGCCCCTAACAATTTAACAAACAAAAAAATATCTTACTTTCCTCCATTTTCTCAGCAACCAAACAGACCGAAAAAGAATGCAATTACAACAGAACGAAAACGAACAGAGAAAGAAACAACTTTAAGAAAATAAAATCTAAAGAGACGTTATAATTTTCGGCTACAATTATTTGAGCTGAACGAAAGAAGGAAGCGCGCATGCACACGCCGTTCGGTGGTCAGCGACGTACCTGATCGGAAATTCAACGGCAGGAGAGGAGCAGAGTCCAAGCGGCCGATGCAGGGGCGCGTCGACTGCACTCTCTCCCGCGGGAGGAAGGTTCGTTGGGAAACAAAGTGAGAGAGCTGCGAGAATCGCATAGGACAACTGAATCACTGACTTGTTTGACTACGGTCTTATTGGTTCTCTACTCTTCGGAGGTTACGGCGTCACTGACTGCCGTTAAAGTCTCTTCTCTAATAGGAGGACAATCTCTCTGCAGTTAAAAAGGAGGGGTCACGGGCTTCCGTGCGTTTACTGACTGTGTTGGTGGTGGGCCATGCGTCCCGGAAAAGGAAGCATGACTGACACGTGTCATGATTAGGATGCCACCTCTTTTGTTCATTTCACCCGCCTGATTTCTCTGTAAAATTGTTATTAGCACTCACCGACTGCTTGTCGCACTACGCATCAGTCAAATTTTGGGATGTTTGGTGAGTGCTTTTAAAAACCAAAAGTGCAGACAATTTTTTTAAAATTAATTTTTAGTAAAAATGTAAATTAATTTAAAAAAAAAATACTTAAAGTAATTCATGCAAAAAGTATATAATTATTGATTTTTGAAAACGTTTTCATGTATTAATTGAAGAGTATTAATTGAAGAGTAATGTTAAGGCGATTAAATTTGTTAACAAAATTTTATAAACTAAATGACATTAAAATTGATTACTGCATAATTACTTAAGCGGTGATAAACATATTTTATTCCTATTTGTAACATATCACTTAGTTTATAAGTTTTTCCTATAAATTTAATCACACTAGTATTACTCTTGCTTGAAAGGTTAAAATAGTCAAGAAAGGGTGGTGTTATTTCCACCTTTTTTTTCTCTTTTTTTTTTCTTTTCCGATTGCAAATTTTTTTTGACAGGACTAAATTTAATGAATGTTTGATTGAGACTACAAATTTCACCATGTAAAATAATTGCATATTTAATGCATTACTAAACTAACTTAAAATAATTCGGGCTTTTCTAGGGACTAAATTATCCTCGACTCTTGCTTAAGGCTCTTAAAACATCAATTTAGAAAGAGATTAACAATTAATAAAAATTAGTCACCCAACATTTTTTAGCACCTAGTCTCTCACATCATTGGGATAAAAAAAAAAATTTAAGACAATTAGATTTAAGGAATAATGGCATTTTGAGAGGCTAAGTAAAGCTTCTAGCCCCTAATCCTTGCCTTTTCCACTAGACTTGCTCTAAAATATAGAGAAGTCATGAAGAAAACTTGTCGTTCAATCCTACCATCTTTTATGGACATCAGGAACTAGATGAGAGGTAGTGTTATCCACTTATTTTTACTTTTCACACATCCCTCTCAATTTTCAATCATCAAATCGAATGAATTGAAGATGAATGGACAAAAATAACAAGAGTGCGTGAGATATAAAAATAAGCGTGTGAATAATACTATCTTTAGATAAAATGTGGGAGAACATGAGCACAAATTGTCCAAAAAACTTCTAAGAAAATTACACTGCGTTTAGACAAGAAAATTTTAGATTACTAAAGAATTCTAAAATAACAAAAAACTGAAAAGATGAAATTTTATTCTCTAGATTTTTTTTTTTTTTTTGTTTAGTTAACATTAAAAAAAATAGATTTAAGTAAAAAATTTAGTAGTGGTGATGGAAACAGCGGTGATGATAGTGAGTGGTGGTGGAGACTGATAATGGTGGATGGTGCTGGCGGCGGCGAGCGAGTTTCAAATTTCGACACTTCAATACTAGTAGGCCTGCCTGTTGAGCGACTTTGGAGTGGTATCAAGGTCACATGAAAAACTAGAAAGTGAAGCCATCAATTGCATGAGAAATATCAAAGTTTGATATCAATCCAAATGCCAGAAATAAACAATTTGCAGGAAAATCAAAGCGGAGAAAAGAGATGTAAATACAATATTACCTTTTAACACATGCATTTATTCAATTCAAATGCGAAAAAAATAAACAGTATAAGGGGAAGAGAAAAGAGGTGGGCAAAACCAATCATACAGAAAAGGAACCAAACTGAACAAAGCACAACTTTCTCTCAAAGACTTGGAGATAATGTTAATTGCCATCTTGATTTCTTGAATTATATCAAACTGTATTTTCCTCCTGATTTGAGCAACAAACCCCCGAATAAATCCAGGATGTAACTAAAAAGTAAGGACCAGAAACAAATGGACCAACATAACTAAATCAGAGGGGGTTAAAAACAACAAAAAGAGACAACATCAGAGTGAGTATTGCACTTTACCATTTGCCACGAGTATCATAAACCCGGGATTTGATGAACCCATCGACAAAGCAAAAATATAGTCGATAAAAGGAAACTGTGACCGAGTTCCGATTCATTTCTCTTGAGGTTGAGCTGCATTTTTGATAATAGACCCGCCTTTCTCTAGCTGCAACGCTCGAGGATCCAGAGGGATTGTTCCAACTGTTAAATTACCCAAGGATTCAGAATACCCGTTAACTCTTACAGGCATTGAGCCTACAGTGACAACATCAACCTTTCTGGTGTTTGTAACAGCAGCAGCTGAAGATTTTGATCCTGCCTGCCTTGGAGTAATAGTGAGGGAATCAATTTTTAAGGTAGACACGACATCATCTTTTGCTTCAATTGCCTTCCGCTCACCATCTTCTTTCTTGATACTGGCGTTGATAACACTTGAGTTAGAGGAAACCTGCTCAGGAGTAGAGACCAAAGTCTTTTTCGCGTTGTTAACATCATCATTAAGTTTGGTGACTTTTTCATCCTTAATACGAGGCAGCTCACCCACAGAGTTGTGCAGCTTGCGGGGAGGACCCAGCCCAGGTACTAAAAATGGACTTTCAAAGCTTCTAAGAAGTAACCTGCCTCTCTCTTCCTGCATGATTTTCTGACGGTCCTCATAGTACATAAAGTCATCAAGTAAAGATGTCTTCAATGTGTGATTCTTGAATATTTTCAGCATCTCCAAGCCTTTCTTATACATAATCTGCACAGTATAAAAAAATAATTAACCACCACCCAATGAAATCATACCCCACGGAGAGACGGTGACACATGATGATGAGGAACCCACTGCTAAATTCAGGACACATTTTCATAGCACATACTCTTAAACCCTAGATTTCAATTAAAGGCTATGAGCCTACTTGTGGTTAGATGCACACAACCATTTAACCATTCTGCCCAGTCTGGCAGTGTGGATTCCAATCCTCCAAGTCGCATTTCTCAGTAACACTAACCACTATACATGATTAAACCACAAGCTAGCTACAAAACACCATATTGTGAAAGTTGCCCAACAAATCACCCACAATGGAAGATTTGGTTAAGATAATACAGGGAAAAAAAATATAGATTACCTCTTGCGTATCCCTGCTATTAGTCACCGGCTTGTTTTCATTGTTCTCCAATACAATGTGCCTGAAACTGGTATTTGGAACATCTTTAATAATGTGCCACTTAACAGGGAAGCTCCCACTCCATTTATCTTGCTGCCAAAAGTCCATATCCTTGTGAAAGTCAACCGGGCCACCCATCTCTGCTACGCCACAGAATTGACCACTTGCATTAACCTGTGCAAAGACAATTCAATATCAGCAATACCTAACGAATCACTAAAAACCTTGTTTCTGATGGTTTATAAAGGAGATAATCGATAAAGGTGAACAATTATACATATTTTCAACAAAAAATAGTCAATAGGTACAACAGAACTCACGGAAAAGAAAAGGAAGATCGGACAGGCTCTATGTTTTCCTGCAGCTATTCTTTGAGCATCTTCATATGCACTATTCAGTTTCTTGTTGCCATGGGGTGTGGATGACCAGACATTGTATTTGACGCTTTTGTGAACATCATCCTCGCTGTATGATTTTATTACAAAAAATTTTGCATCCGTGTAGTCAACGGGCAGATCATCCTTGTTATATTTATCAGTACGGATAATGATGTTTCCTTGTGCATCACAATCTCCTGCCTTGGTCGTATAGGCTTTCACAGCTAGTTGATTTTTTAACCTGTTGATTCTAGGACCACAATTCTGCTCACCCAATGCCTCCAGGCCACCATGTACATCATTCAAGGCCCTACCAACATGAAATTTTGGTCGAAACTTAGCCGCAGCACCCCTTCCTTGAGCACTAGATCCAAAGTTAGATAAGCCATTAGTGACGGGGATTTCCACCTTCAAATGATTAGGTAATACTTTCCCATTTGGAAGGTTATCCACAGACGAAACCGACCCAGATGCACTTCTAACCTGTTAAAGCATTAGGGGAAAACTCAGAAAGGATTCTGTTTTAAAGGTCCTCAAAAGAACCAGATATCAAGACAGTAACAATTTTATAGGTGAACAAAGATGATCATTTCAGAAACTTTATGGGTAGAATTAAACACCCAACAAGTTAAAGACCATAAACCTGGACAGAAAAAGTAATACCTGATTAACATGTGACGAGGCTGGGGTTGGAAAACGACCAGAAGAAACACCTCCATGTGTCACAGCATGCTTGCTTGATCCACTACCTCTTTGACCTTCTGATACCTTTGTCAAGGGATTCATCTGATTTAAAGAGGACTTCGAGGAGTTAGGGTAGCCTCCAGAAGCTGAATTTAAGTTATATTTGACCCCTCTTCCATCGGGTCTATTAACTGATGCTCCATTATCAGACAAGGAGTCAGGTGAACTGTTGGGAATGGCATCTTGTTGAACAACAAAAGGGATGTAGGAAGGTGAAGAGACAGAGTTCTGATAAGGGGGGATGGTATACTGTTGGCCATCAGCGCCTATCATAGCACCAGGTATGTAAGGATTGTATGGGTTGTATGGAGACTGTGCATATCCATAGCTAGGTGTATAATATACAAAAGGCAAACTTTCATTCTGTGCACCCTGTTAAATAGGGACGAATTATGAGAATCATCACAAATAATCACTAAAGTACCAAAAGTATGTGTGTGTAAGAGAGAGATAAATCACTAACCGTGTACTGGATATCTGGACCATCAACGCCAAAAATCCTACGGTGGTCCTCAAATTCACCGGGTGATTCAAATCCTGTCCACATTTATTCAAGTGTCAACACAAAGTACAAATGAGACAAATGAGCCGCCAAATTGATCTACCAAAAGAGAAGGGGCAATAAATTTACCTGTACAGTAATACCCATAGTTTGTGGCAGCGGGATAATACATGCCCTGGTCAACAACAAACTCAGGAGCTCCTTCGTTGTACATACCTTCAACTTGTTCAAAGGAACTTGGAAAATGCAGGCCTTGTTCCATGTTTTGAATCTAAAAGCCAAAGACACCAACACTCAAACAACTCAGCAGGAAATTACAAACTGAATTCACCACTGGAGAAAATACTACTGCTCAATCGAATGTCGAAAGATTTGTAAGAACATACCATATAAACCTCATCATTCACATGTTCAGGAACATTATACATTTCCATTCCAGTACTGCCACCCCTATACAATACAATGATACAGAACGTCATCATTCAGTAGAGTCAGGAAAGTAAAATGCAGAACCATCCTCAAACAAGTAAACCATCTCTACAAAACAGTAAGGCACCCGCCAGTACACAAGCTTTGTTCCCGTTATCACTAGCCCGGGATGAATCAAACATGTTCAAAACAATTAAAGAATACCCAAACACTAGAACAGAAGAATTGGCTTCTTCTCCACCATCAATCACATAATCATAAGCAGAAATTGACCCGATACTTAACCGAGCATTCCACCATTCGACAAGGAACTCAAACCCAATTAACGGAGTAACTGAACTTATTTATCTTAATTTTTTTGCACCGAGGTATGAATTTTCAGCTACTAGAAAGCAATCATGTCAAAAAATAACATGTCCTAAGCAATACCAAATAAAATTAGATCTGATTAATCATAATAACGCGAAAATTCAACTTCCAAAAACCCAAAAATTCAATGATTCCAACAAAAATATCAGGAACAATTTTTAGAAAGAAAAAAAAATTATATTCCTACTCTCAGACTACCTTCTAATGCTAAAAAATTCGAACAAAGAACCTGTAAACACAAGGAAAAATGGAAGAGAGGGACGAAACTGCAAGGAAACTTTTATCTGAGCTCGGAGAAAAGACAGTACCTTAATTTCTAAGCAAGGACGTAAACGAAAAAGAAGAGAAAAGCTTGAGGAGTGAGGGGAATTACCAATAAATAAGCTGAATCAATCCGCGGTTGACCTAGAAAGTTCTAGGAGACGGGAATCGAATAATTTGCAGAGAGTAGAGGGGCTTTTCTGCAACATTACGTAATATATATATATATATATAATATATTATATATAAACTTTTGAGGGCGAAGCAGACTCGCTTAAGAAACCCTAACCATGAGGGAGAAGCAAGGGAGAGAGGGGGGGGGCTTTGGGACAGAAGGCGGTTTTGGTGTGTGAACGTAAAAATTGAGAGAGCAAAAGAGAGATTCCCGCAATACGCAGCGTTTCGAGTGGGAAACTTTTCAGTTTCGCGGTGTTGTTAAATGTCGAGATTGCCCCCTGAGCGGCATTGGTAAAACTCGAAGACCGCCAGGGGGAAATGCGTAGCGGGAAAGTGGTGAATTTTGTCTGGTCCGCTAAAAGCTTGAAACGACGTCGTGGTGAAGCGGTCGTACGCTCACTGCCTGTGGTTTGTTCTCAAGAGAAGATCTATCGCCAACTAGTGGCGGCTGCAATTCTTTTAATTCTTTTTTTGGAAAAAGCCAAGAAACTTCCTACTTTATAGTTACCAATAAACCTTCGACATCATGTGAATTTAAAATTTGAGAGGGAGTGCTTGAATTTATGTGGTCTTAATTATTGTTTAACACATTAATTTTATGATAATGAAATTAAAAAAGTTAAGTTTATAATTACGTGTCATTCAACAATTCAGGCCACATAAAAACTATACTTATTTTTGATGTGGAAGATTTGATCTCTTGAAAGAAGGATAAGCTACCGTGGTGATACTAATGTAGTGCCACAAAATACCCCTCTAATGTTTGAATTTTTTTTCGAACAAACGTTATTATCTACACTAAGGAGTGGGAGAATGGGTTAAACCTCATAATATGTTAGCGATAATGTGGTTCAAGTTTTCCTTTGGCAAAAATCGAATTTAAAACCTCTTACTTATAAGTAAAAATGAATTATATTAGACCATAATACTAAATGTAAATGACTTGATGATATGGTGAATGAAGCTCTTTTTATAGTAGATGAGAGTTTTCTAGTCCAACCTGGACTTGGGATATGTAGAATAATTCTCAAATTAACGACTAAAATCAAAACAAATGTCAATGTAACGTAAAATTTAACGAGAACAACATATTATTAGTTAAGGAGAAGGGTATTTATTTTAATTGCTTCTTGCCACTACGGTTAAACACTATCTGGAACAAGTTTATTATTCGATTCCTGCCAAAATATTTTTTTTGGGGGTTGACCTTATCTTGACTTATATGTTGGGTATAAAAACTTACCTTTATTAGTTGAGAATTGAAAAGAAGATTTCTCCCATTATTCTTGGTGTGCTTTTTTCGCATGGAATATATTTCTCTTTTTTCTTGGTAAAAAGAATGTATTTCTCTTTAAAATATTGCTTCATAAACTTTAGTTTTTATACAACAATACATGAAATTTCATAATTTTAGTTTACTTACATAATAAGTCAATCATAATAATTATATATTAAATTCACAATCTATTTGAGTTGAACTTCAGACCTCTGACCACGCTTACAAATGAAAATGAATGTCAGTAGATTAGTAGGTCATATGGTTCTGGAGTCATGGATATGAGACTGGCACAAGGCTTCCTTTGGTAGGTGGAGGGTGTTGGTTCCTCCTGCCTGAGTACGAAACTTACGTGTTATATATTTATTTAATAAGATATCTTTATCTCAATGTGTTATTTTAATTTACGTATTTATAAAAATTAAATCAAACTATTATTGAATGAGGAATTAAACAAAGAAAAAAAATTTACATTTGATTTATGAAAGTTATTTTAGAAAGATAGACTATAAAAAATATAGGATATATGTTTCTTGTCACCTTAATCATAGTAGCTAGGTGCCCTTGTAAATTTATAATCGATGATAGTAGCTTATATGGAACGAGTTCGTCGTTCTTGTAGTGTCCCGATCTAACAAGAATATGGAAGAAAACTTGCACATAGCAATATATTATTAGGTTGAGACGCCGCGTGACGGTAAATCTATTTCATGGAATTCTTCTCCTAAGTGAGACTTAATAGCAATAACCACTTTGATGCTCTACTCAATTATAAGCTCGTGACGTTCATAAATTAGCGTGACAAAAAGATAAACGCAATATATTATATACTTGGGCATAATATTTAAGACTTGGAGACCAAGTGATTGCAAAATAAAGTGAGACTATTTTTGCTTTATGACTTAATATTTTTGGTTATACTTTAGAATTTGGATATCTCAAAAACTATATGCTGACTTGCATGTGGATGGATGTCTTTTACATAAAAATATTCTTATGTATGCGATAGGCCAAAATGTTCTTTGCTCAAACCTTTTTAGGGCATATAGGGGCCTTTATTCACCTGGGGTCTCCCACTTATATGCTGAACATGGTGACAAGTTTTGTAATTAGGTAGAAATCTATAAAGGAGAAACGCTTTATTCTCTCGTCACCTGTTCACCACGTGACAATGACAATTGCTTATTGAACTGGCAGTACACTTCTTCAACACATGGTAAGCGTATTAGACGGTGATGCCACCAAACCTTGGTTGCATGAGAAAATCTCTTCAAAAAGTTACCCCGAGATCTCCGGCTTGGATCTCAAAGGTGATCGACCGGCCCTTGCCGGAACCTATAGAGGGGTGAACTAGACAACCTATCGCTAAAGTGTTTTGCCAGCATAAAAATGGAGGACAAGGTGAGGAAAGAATGATACCCAAGTACCAAACCAAAATCTGAAAGCTCACCGGCATTAGGATATGAACTACGATTGGCTTGACCACAGATATGTGCAATTTTCAAATCGTTGAACCCGAAAAACAGACCGTAGCTGCTTCACATTCACAGTTAGCAGTACCTAAATCACATTACATCTACCCACACATTCCTGAACACAGTGCTTTGTGTGTGTGTGTGTGTGTGTGTGTGTGTGTATGAGAGAGATAAGTTAAACGTAGAAAAGTTACTTGAAAAAATAGGTTAATTCTTGACAATATCTAGTAAAAATAAGCACCTAAACTCCGTGTGGGAAAGGTGTAATACATGTCTTTCCCAATTTCTCACACAAGACACCAATATTCCGACGAGCTAACGTCCTCTGCAATACTCAAATTCAACCGTTGAATGATCAAAATAATAGACGGTGCTTGAAAAGAGTGCTCTAGAGCTCTACCCTAACACATCCATCGTCCAGAACTACCTCCAATTACCTGGAATGACCTTCCACCACCGGCAGAAGCAGTTGGGCAGGTCAGCATGTCTTCATCCCACGGCATATGTATCATCCAATTCATTCCAGGAAGCCCAGCCCCAACATACCGCATACAAGTATTCTCACACCAAAAAGCAAGCTTCGCAGATCGGCGTAAGCGAGACACTTAACGAACCAAAACTGACATCAATGCACCACACAAGCACTGGAAAAAGCAATCTGTGTCTGGATGGTGAGAAGGGTTTCCCCCTCCACCCAAGGACAGGTTTCAGGTTAAGTCGCTGGATGATGAGAAGGGTCTCCTCCAACAACCTGTGTATGCACTGGCTCAGTTTCCTCAACCACTGGCAGTTCGCCCATGGGCTTGGTGTCTGGGGACATAGGAACCATCTCTGGTACAGGTGGAGCCCCAGATTCAGGAACAGGATCCTTCACGTCAAATTTCGAAACGCGTGGCGGCCTCTCATATCTTTCATAACTGGGGCTCCGACTATGGTTACGACTACGACTTCGGCTACGACTGTAGCTGCGACTACGGCCACGGGACCAGCTCCGGCTACGACTCCGACTCCTGGTCCAGCTCCGACTCCTCCTACTCCGGCTGCGGCTGCGGCTTCGACTCCGGCTTCTGCTTCTGTTGATATCCCATGTTCGAACTCTGTCAGGGCTACGGCTATAGCTTCTGCCTCTGCTCCTGTCAGGAAAATCAACTCTATTATCAAATCGTCCCCGTCCACGTCCTCCACGCCCATCCATACTGTTGTACCGATCTTGCGGGCCACTGCCATTTCTACCCCAACCAACATTACCACCACCAGGACCACCAAATCCTCGGCCCCTGTTCCCAGGTCCAGAAAAGAAATCGCCTCTCCCACCACGGCCGCCAACAGCACCATCCCTAGGGCCACCACGACCGCCAAAGCCATCTCGCATGCCGCCACGACCACCAAAACCACCATCCCTCATGCCACCACGACCTCCAAAACCCCCATCCCTTGTACCGCCACGACTACCAAAACCCCCATCCCTCATTCCATCACGGCCGCCGGAATCCCAGCGGCCAGTACCACCATTAACAGGCCCACCGGAATCAAAACGGTTCATCGGATTCCTATCCTTGCCAAAACCAGCCCCACCACGTAGAGCAATCTCTCGCACCTCTGGGGGCACTTGCTGGTTAGCTCCCTCCAGAACTTTAATCAAATCAGCTGCATATTTCCAGTCTTGCTCGGAGAAAAAGGTGTAGGACATCCCAGTTGCGCCAGCCCTCCCAGTTCTTCCAATTCGGTGAACATAGTCTTCAACACCAGTAGGGAAATCATAGTTTACCACCACCCTGTAACATGAGAAACTCTGTAAGTATAATGTCTTTGAAACAATGTTGAGGTCTAATTCTAAGCTCAATCATGATCTTTGTCCTAATGCATCGATATTTTTTCATTAATAAACTCAACATGTTAAATTGGAAATAACGAAGTGCGTTGAAATGAGTTAACCTTATATCTTTGATGTCAAGCCCACGAGCAGCAACGTCAGTGGCAACTAATACTGGGGATTTTCCACTCCGGAACTGATTTAAAACCCAGTCTCGCTCACCTTGAGACTTGTCCCCGTGAATTGCAGCAGCCCCAAAAGTGCGTCCAATACTACGTGCAATCTGATCGCACAACCTCTTGGTGGAACAAAAGACAATGATCTTAGAACCTCGTTCTTGGGATCTTAGGATCTGCTCCAAGCGCCTTTGCTTCTCCATTTGTGGAACAACTTCAACGTACTGCATATTCATTAACAAATCATTTTGCGAGGTGAAGCAATAAAAAGGTTCCTACTTCTTTTTGAACGTATAAAAAGGTTCCCATTTCACAAACAAGTTAATAGTACAAATATATTCTACCCTACGTGTGCATTTGAAAAATCCTCAGCATAAAATGCACATAAAAAAGGAGATAGACCATCACACAGACCGGCTGTATATAATTATGAGGCTTATTGATGCGAGCCAGAACTGAAGTGTACGGCAAAGCTTATGGTTCCGTGTTATAATTAGATTTAAGTTTAATAGAAATTTTTTGCATAAGATTTCTTATATGTGAGTAGTGAGTAGTGATACTGATCAAAACTGAAAACATAAAGCACCTGATATGACAATTGTAGTTCTATGATCATAGCACATTAATATACTAGTTACATTATCCTAGAATATGTGCACTTGTCAAAACACTAAAAAAAAAATGTACTCATTCAGAAATTACCTGTGTGATAGACTTGTTTGCAGCAAGCTCATCAACGTTGCCAATATTCACTTGTACAGGATTAACAAGAAGGTCACTTGCTATTTTTCTTACTTCTTTGGGCCATGTTGCTGTGTACATAAGGGTTTGTCTGTGCGGGGGTATTTGATCCACAATTTTACGGATTTGAGGTTCAAAACCCATGTCAAGCATTCGATCTGCTTCATCAAGTACAAGTAGAGAAACTTGCCGAAAATCAATCTTCTTCATTTCCAGTATGTCATTAAGACGACCAGGAGTTGCCACAACTATATCTGCTCCACGATCCAACTCTTTTAGCTGAAGGCCCTTTGGAGCTCCACCATACAAGCACTGAATCATGAAGTTCAATCACAGTGAATAAAACATATAAACCAAAATGAACTGAAAAAATGAAACAATCATATTAATAAAGTCAAGCAATGAGCACCCACCGTGCAAGATACCCTAGAAGCTCGCCCAAATTTCAAGACCTCATCTTGTATCTGTGTTGCAAGCTCCCGTGTTGGGGCCAAAACCAAGACTGTTGGGCCATTCTGAGAATGATTACGGCGTTGTCTAAGAAGAATGAATGCAGGCATCAAATAGCCCAAAGTTTTTCCAGAACCAGTTTTCGCAATTGCAACTATATCCCTACTTTGAAGAGCAATTGGCCATGTTTGTGCCTGAATTGGTGTGGGAGATGTGAAGCCAGCAGCATGAATCTGAACCAATAACATAGGTCTAAGAGATCAGGAAAAAGTTTAAGAATGTCTCATGCAAAGATAGATGACAAATATTGTATTGATAGAAGAGTAAGATGACAAAAATGCCCATGGGTATATGGTTGCTTACACAAGCAACTTGAGGCAACAAAAGAGGGCATAAAGACATAACAGGTGGAGCCATTAAGTAAGAAATCCCAGTCACATAAGGTGTGATTTGGATGAAGGGCTAACCGCCCTTTTACAAGATAGGCTCCAACAGTTCATTTTGCAGCCAAATATCAGAATAGTTGTTGCATGTGTAAGTGTGCCAATAGCAGTGCAGCGTACGACATATGCTCCTCCTCCGGAGCAGATATCGCACCTGCGACAAGTGAGAACTGATGAGTTCAAAAGTAGAAAACATATACTAACACAAAAATGGAATGGTATGGATCTTATAATGGATATTTATAAAATATCAGAGAACGAACAAATCCAGGGGGGAAAGTAACTTACCTCTCTCAATATCTCTGGAGGAAAACCAGTGTCTTCAAATGTCATGAACGGTGCAGGAACATTGTCACCCTATGCAATTAAATGCAAAAAATTGAGGTCATAAAGAATACACATTAGTTTAACACGCTATTGTGTCCATAACAACTATAAACAATAAAGCACCATCTCTTATCAAAACCAACATCATTTTGTATCCACTCATCAAAACCATTTTCAGTGCTGTTCAAATAAATTTACAAGCATTCCCACATTCCCACAAATACATCCCAAGCAAAAAGAAATACAGACCGATGCAGTAACTTCATGTTGTTGCCGATAAACTTCAACAGGTGAAAGACTAGTAACACTTGTAGGTCCGGCATAAGGGGGCTTCACCAAAGAGTTATTTGGGAAAGGTGGACCACCTGTTGCATGACTGTACACGTTATGCATGGGACCTGGCATGGTATTCAGTGCATTGGCACGACCAGGTGTAGCATTTTGAAATGGAGGACCACCACTCATACTCATCTCCTGAAAAAAAAATGGCATGATATAATGAGAAATCAGTTTACTTTCGAAGAATGCATTTAAATGTAAATAACTTACATGGAAACCTAACAGAACGTGTCAGTGATATTAATTAAGAGATACCTGCTGACTTCTTGCAATCGGAATAGATGCAAGTTTGGGTTGCTGAGGACCTGGTGGCCCTTCATTGTTACTATTGAAGTAATAATCATTTCCACCTCTACCGTGGAAATTATCTTCATGACCCATTCTTAATCCTACAGGAGGCACATTTGACTGCTGACCACGTATCATTGCCGGGTCCATTTGATTTTGGAACCTAGAACCATGTTGATTGTGAGGCAAATCAGCCCCAGGTTGCTGCAAGTGACCAAAAGAGGAAGGGTGTTGCATGTTTCCTATAGGGCCGCCAAATTGTTGGGGTGGCCCTTGATGAACAGACCTCTGTGGCATTTGTACTGGATTGGTCCCAGTAGGAAGATTCTGCACAGATGAGGCACCCGCAGGTTGAAATCGAGATGGAGAAACACCAATTTGATTTCTTTGTTGAAAATCATCTTCCTCCCTCTGAGAGAATGCAGGTTTATATTCTTGTTGATTTGCCAGTGGTTGCCCTTGTGCACTATGCATAGATTGCTGTTGTGAACTTTGCTGCCCTTGGGGAGGAATGCTTTGCTGATAAGGGATATAATGCATCTGCTGATGTGCAAACTGATGCATTTGTGACCCGTGGCTCTGTGGTGTGTGTTGCCCCAGTTGCTGAGGCATTTGCTGACCCGGATGCTGCATCATATGCCCATGATGTTGCATGGCCTGTCCCACTTGTGAACTCTGTTGATGTCCAGGTTGAGCCATTTGTGATCCCTGCTGTTGAGCATATGATGTTGGATTCAGCTGTTGTGCCATTATCTGTCCATGCGGTTGAGAATACTGGTTTATTTGCGACCCCTGCTGTTGTGGAGCTTGTGTTATCTGCTGCCCATCCTGAGGCATCACTCCGTTCGGTTGCATTGAATGAGCAACAGGAATTGCAGCTAGCTTTGGTGTGGTAGTAGCAGGAGGCGGGCCTGCTGGCAAGGGTGGCGGCAAAGAAGCCGGTTTTTCATACTGGGTAACGTTAGTTTCAGGATTCCAATAGTATAACAAACCCGTACTACCATCAATCAAACCCTTCCACGGATTTGGAAGTGTAGGATCATCAGGCGCATATCGTGGACCGGCTGGCTCCACTGATGCCATGACTAATACTGATCTACAACGTATCAAACCATTCCATCAAAACATCGACATTGCAAACTCGTTTCGCAAAATTGCACCAAATAATAACCAAAAAAAAAAAAACTAATACAATCAATCACACATATGGAGTTGCAAAACAACCTCAAATCAAAAAAATAATTGTTTAGTCTTCTGAAGTTAGGATAACCTAATTTAGTGAATGTCTAAATGCCACAGAATCTATACAAAATAAAAAATAATCCAAAAATTCAATTTCTGTTCTTACTTTACCAACAGTTTCTCACTTCTCAGAACCCAAATTTCTTACAAAATTAAAACCCCGTATCAAAATTTGAATTAACAAAATACATCCGAAACGTTCAACAACCAAGCATATTCAAACTTAGAAAAAATTAAATACCCAAAATTAGAAAACGAGGTAAAATCAAGCATATAATTCCCAATTCGAAAAACCCTAAAAAATCACGTACCTCGTCGAATATATTGAGCAGCGGCTTCGAAAAACTTCTATTTCTTTGGTATAAAAACAATCAGAGAGCGACGCGAGAAACACAAGAGGTAAGTTTTCCGGGAAAATATTTGCTGTTTGCTTCTCGCCCTCCGTGGGTCGGAGGACTAATTATATGAGTTGTGTGGGGAGGGGGCATGAAATTTCAATGTAGGGTTATGGGGGTAAATATCAGCTGCACCGCCAGTCCAGAATCAGTGGTGAACCTTGAAATAGACGGTTGTGATTAAGAGTACGGTTATTTTTACCTGCATTTCCTAAATTCACCTTTAATTTCACTTTGCCTCGTATAATTCAAAAATCATTACATTGCCTTCTAAAATTAAATCTGTTATACCTTATTATATTTCCGATTTTCTGTTCAATAGTCGTTAAAGTTGTTGAAGTGGATGAGTAAAAATTTAATATTGTAGGCTTATTTCTAGCTACACCCTGTGAAAGTCAATTTTAATTCCACTTTTTAACCCTTAGAACTTCATTTTAATTTTAATTTGCCTCTAAAACTCAAAAATCGTTATCGTATAAATCCCCACTATGAATTATTGAATGTTAGCTATTATAAATGTTAGCTACACAGCGCATATTGGAAATGAATTTGATTACACATCTATATTATAAATTTCAATATAAATCTTCACTGCGCGTTAACATTTAACAATTAGAAAATAATAAGATTACAAGAATAAATTAAGGATTAGAATTTTTTAGGTTGCTATGCTTGAGTTGCAAACCCACATAATGGAATCTGCTCCAATTCCACGGACAGCAAATCAATTTTAGAGAAAGAGTGGGAGGAAGAGGCTGGATTGATAGTGAGGAAGAGAAGAGGGGAGTTCTCACCGGCGAGATTAGATTGGTAGTCGTAGGATAAACGACGCCAAGAAGTTCTTTTCTTTTTGGGTTTTGGTTCACCATTTTACCAAATATGTATTTTTTATAAAATGCATTCTTTAATGTACATCAGCATATTTGATGGCTTTTGAACGAATTAGATACTTTGTCTACATGGATATGCAACCTGCCTTCTTGTGGTCATCTGCAGTAGAAGCTTACTTCATGACTTCAAGGCAAACTTCAAATTTCATGCTACTACTTTCTAAATTAATATGGTACATTTTGAAGATCGACGACGTAGTAATTGCTGTGTTTTGTATTGTGCTCGCCAATTTATCTAAGAGATTATATGTTCATCGACTGTTCGAGCTATTTCTAATGAACTCGATTTGTACGTTGGATTTTACGTTCCGCCAATAAATCTATAGTTTTATGGGTTTTATTTTTGTTGTCTAGTCTAGAAATTTGGTTTTTTTAACTTTGTCAGCAAATATTTGGGATTCATATTTTGCATTCACAATGAAAGAACAAACTCATTCCGCTCATCTTTTCACAACGAACGGAAGATAATTACAACGTCATCATCTACGAAAATTAGTCGAACGACTTCATTTTTTTTTTTCCTCTAGGGCCAAAATACAACAAAATTAGATTTCTATGTAAATTCAGCAGGGAAAACACAATTTGTTAAGTAAATTTCTAAGCCTAGATTGCCTTCTGACTCTGTGAGCACGCCACACACCTGCCCAAGTCTTAACCCCCGCAGTTAGCTCCTTCACAACAACCACTAACTCTTTCAAATTTACACGAACCTGATCCTTGCTGTCTCTCTCCCGAATTGTCACTGACGTAGTAGAATCCACCGTGATCGCGAAGGGCGCACCAAGCTCGTCGGTCCGCGCATACTTTTTCCCGATTGAGGTGGTGGTTGGATGATCCAATTAAGAAACAAGTTATTCAATTTAATTTCAAACGTAACACGAAAGGATTGCATTGTTATTTAGTAACACCTCTTATTTTGTTTTTGCATTTTCTAACCATTTACGAATTGGATTCTGATCATGGTGTAGATTTTATTGTTATAACAAGAGAAGCACAACAGCCTAATTTTGATAATATATTGCTTCATTGTGTCTCTAGAAGCACATTTATAACCTTTTAGCATTGTCCTTGAAATGGTAACTAAACACTTTTAGATAACCAAAATCACTTTCGACAAAGTTTGTTACATAAAATCAAGTTAACAAAACATGAGATAGCAAGTGATGTGTTGAAAGAACCCTTCTCATAGCCTTTAAATTAAGGTAAAAAAGCCTAGAAGATGGCATGGTAAGTAAAAGAGCCATTAGTACAAGTTCCCACCGGATGTCCCTGTAGGCATTAAAACCACCAGCTAAAATAAAACATGATGTTTGGAATACATGCATAGAAATAGTTCATCAAGGATAGAGATCCACTCCGGATCTCACTATTAGGATCCACTCCGGATCTCACTGTTGGGAGCCTAAGAATCATGTAATCCGAATAACTCAAATTAAATCTAATGGTCTCTATTAGTATTAACACCAAAACCACAAACGAGCAACATTTGACACTGACATAACACCAATTAATTTATTGGCCTTTTTCGGTAATATCCATTCGGAATTCTCCCAACGACCCGCAATTAGAATACTACCATTCCTTCAAATTTTAGAGTTGAATTCCAAAATTCGTGTGATTTCCACCACCTTTTGATTCTCTAATATTTAGTAAACACCAGATTACCTCGTAATTGAAATTCTTTGCATTTTTATTGTGATTATGGTTACGTCTTAACGTGGGCTTTGGAATTGAGGAGACCCACAACCCGTGTGCAATGAAACGAAGCCCATCGCTCAATAGAAAATGGATTCTGGAGAAGGACCATCAAATTTAAATAGAATTCTCTAGTCTCTTTTGGAGTGCACCGAGTACGCGGTTGCCGCCTCGCCGTGGGAACCCAGAAGAAGGAGCATCGGGCAGCCGTGTACGTTACAAAGCCTCAGCTGCGAATCCCCGTTTCTAAAACCATAAATTGCAGCAGTCAGAATCTGTCACTAAAAACAAACATTCACTATTTGAAAGCTGGAAAAACATTGTGGGGGAAGAAATTAAAAACGGAAAAGCTTTGGAGACGGGAAAACATGGCGGTGGAGACGGAGCCTGTGACGGTGCCGGAGTTGGCCCTTTCTGATACTGACATCAACTGGGACAGGTTCCTTTCTCCTTCTCCCTTTGTTTAATTTTCCTTCCCATTTCATTTTCTGTGCTCTGTTTTTTTTATACAAGCGATATTCTACTTTAAACTAATCTAAATTGTTGCTAGGGAATTTAGAATTAAGTTTAGCTGTGAACTTGCGAGGGAATTGGAACTTAGTTGCATAGGGGAGCACATCCGCTATAGCCAATATGGCTACGTATGTGTGTACTTTAAATTATTATGATTGTGTTAGGCCAATTTGGGGAACTGTGTTTGTTGCCCTTGGATTGTTGGATCCTTGAGGGAATAGAGGAATGACTGTTCATTGGTTTTTCACATGGCGATATTCTAAACTACTCTAGTATATAGGGCTGCGAACGGGGTTCAAGGGTGGCACTCTGCTTTGCTTAACTGGCCTAACTCGTGTGCATGGTCTTTTTTTAATGGGTCTATGCGTGCAATGTTCTTGTGTAATGCACCAGTTTTAGCATATTAACCAATTTTCCAGATGAAATTATGCTTGACTGTTTGTGTTTAGTCGTGATTAGTTTTGGGCTAGAGTGATTACTCATGTTTATGTTAGTTTAATGTCAGTGTAGAACTATAAATTCTCAAGTTGGCTGGATTTAGAGCTCTTGTGGTTGCCTACCTCTCATGTGTACAACTTGCCTAAGCAATCTCAATGGTAAAATAAGTCTTCGATGCATTTCGCAAGAAGTATTTTTCTTTAGTTTGTTCGCTGCGAGCTGGGGTTTTGATTTATTATATAAAAATTTGCACTATGCACTGCAAGCATATATGGTAATCACAATGAGCTTTGGTAGAATCCTTTATGTACTTGAAACGAAACACAACAACCCAAAACCTCTTTTTCTTCTTGGAAAAAGAAAACAGAACACAACTGCAACCATTTTCTATTTCTTTTTATTTATGCCAATGGAGACATGAGGTTCTGCCTTTTATCTCGCCTTAATTTAAAGGAAGTTGCCGATGTGCTTATGATGGACTAGAACTGAATTTCTGTTTAACTTTATTCACCTCGATCAGGTTGGACAAGACAAAGTTTCACATTATCGGGGCTATTCTCTTCACAGCGCAGTCGGCCTTGCTACATCCAACAGCAGTTTTAAAGACTAGAATGCAAGTAGCTGGTTCTGGACTCTCTCACATGAGTGGAATATCAGTATTTAGACATATATTAAGATGTGATGGCATCCCCGGCATATTTAGAGGTTTTGGCACATCTGCCATTGGATCGTTGCCCGGTAGGGTCTTGGCTTTGACATCACTTGAAGTATCAAAGGATATGATGTTGAAATACACTGATGGTCTAGACATGCCTGAGGCTACACGTGTTGGCATTGCTAATGGAGTGGCGGGAATGTTCTCAAATTTAGTTTCTTGTGGGTACTATGTGCCTTTGGATGTGGTAGGTCAACCAGTTCTTTCTCATTTCCTAATATATTGTATTTCGGTTTATGAGCAAGAAAATGAATACTGGATCGGACTACATAAGAAAGAGTAGATGAATTGCTTGTATGCAGGTCATGCTCGTATACCTTTTACTGTTTTTGGCTAACGAACTAATATTCTGCATCTGTTTTATTGAAACTGTTTTATTCTTATCTCCAACTCTAATATCCTGTTAAGAGATGAATATACAGATCCCCATAATCAAAAACTGTCGTTCCCCTTTCTTTTGGTTTATAATTATTTGGTGGGAGTCATTCCCTATGAAAGTAGTCTTGCCATATACACCACTTCCGCGATGCAGTATTTTGCTATTGTTTTGTTATGGTTTAAATGGCTCAAAAGACTCTAATCGATACATGAGACCTTTTTTGGTAATACTTGTGTGTGTGGGATAAGAGTAGAAAGCTTGTGATTGACGTGTGGTATTCAGTTCTGTCTTTTGATATCAAGCATTGAATGTACCTGTTTTTTCCTCATCACTACACCTGTGCATTCTCAGATTTGCCAAAGACTAATGGTGCAAGGACTTCCCGGGACTACATCCTGCAACAAACCATTTGATGTTATACAGAATGTGACAAAGGCTGAAGGTCTTCGTGGATTGTACAGAGGCTTCGGACTAACAGCTCTGACCCAGTCACCAGCAAATGCACTTTGGTGGGGTGCCTATGGTTCTGCACACCACATGATCTGGAGGTGTATATAATTTCCTGCCGGACAATTTTGTTCTGTCGCAGTTCCTTAACTTCAGCCGAATATGTTGTGTAATTGTTATACGTCCTTTGTATTGTTATAGGAGTTTGGGCTATAGAGACGATGCAGAGAAGAAACCGTCTCATATGGAGATGGTGACAGTTCAGGCTTCAGCCGGCATGATGGCTGGTGCTTGTACCTCTATTATCACTACTCCTATTGACACAGTCAAGACACGACTTCAGGTAATTTAGCATATAAAGCCATTTTTTTCTCTATAATTTCTACAGTCTTAAATAATAAATAAGCCCTTTGGCTAATTCTTTGATATGGTACTTGAAGGTCATGGATAATTATGGTGCTGGAAGACCGTCAGTACTGAAAACGGCGAAGACACTCCTTAAAGAGGATGGATGGCGGGGATTTTATAGAGGTTTTGGTCCAAGGTTCTTAAATATGTCACTCTATGGAACTACAATGATCGTTACTTACGAATTGATAAGTAAGTTAGTCTCCTAATTAATTTTATTTTCTAAGGCTTGCAAATTGGAAGTCTTAACTGTGGCCGATGAAATTATGGATTTTGTTCTCTGATGAATTAATATACTTTATCTACATGGATATGAAACCTGCCTTTTAGTTGTCAGCCGCAGTAGGATCTTAGTTCATGGCTTTGAGGCAAACTTCAAATTTCATGCTTTTACTTTCTATATTAATATGGTATATTTTGAAGATCGATGACGTACTAATTACTGCGTTTTGCAATGCTCACCGATTTATCAGAGAGATTATCTGTAAGGGAAGGATGAAATCGTCAGCTGGAAGAGGTACAACTTTGCCGCAACACTTGTTCCTGGAGCGAGATGAGATCGATCCGGGTATTCGAAATTTTATTTTTCTCAACAGACAGTCAGACAGACATAGCCTATCTACGTAAGGATGCATTTCTTGAACGGGCTCCGTTTCTTGCCGTTTCCTTCCTTGTTATTTGAATAGGAAGGCTGGGTTTCCATTCACCCTCTAGTTTTGTAAATGTGCATGTCGATTTAAATTTCATAGCTTGTTCATCAACTTTTCGAGCTATTTCTAACTAACTCGTATTTTATGTTGGATTTTATGTTCCGTCATTTCAGTTTAGAGTTTTTCGGGTTTTATTTTTGTTGTTCTTTGTGTCTAGAAATTGATATTTTTTACTTTTTGAAGAATTCGCCATGATACATCTGATCCATGCATAATATCATGAAAAATGGATACAATTTTTTGGCGGCAACTTAGTATCGGCAATAGGTCTAAAAAAAATGTAAGTTTAGCAATGGATCACGAAATCCTAATGATCTTCTCTATCTAATGAATGGGGGAGGCTGCTCTGAAATCATCCCACCCTCGAGTTTATGCTTCAACAGGAATCACACAAGGATAGATTCATAACAATAGAAACCTCTAGTAAAATGCCCACCTGTAATCTAGCATATAAAGTAAATTATATAGTCTGTTTTAGGGATTGGTGACTTACCCATTTAGTGATTTTGGCACTGAACGTTTCAAAAATGGGTACTATAAGGTCGGGTGAATTCAATTCAATAATAGACGCCTGTTGACATTCCAGCCTTCCTTTTCGTTTCAAAGCCTATCCGAAAGAGAATCCGGTATTTGTGAACATCTGAATAGAGTCAGCAAATATTTGGGATTCATATTTTACATTCATCACGAAAGAACGAACTCATTCCACTCATCTTTTCACAACGAAACAGAGAGATAATTACAACGTCATCATCTACGAAAATTAGTCGAACGAACTCATTTTCTCTTCTCTAGGGGCAAAAGACAACAACGTTAAATTTCTGTGTACATTCATTAAAACATTTATATATCAAAAGCCTACACCTTTAACGTGTCGGGGCTGAGCGTCTCGTTCTGCAGCTGAGCGATTTGAGCTGCGACCGAGTAAGTGAAAAAGTGAGAGATATTGCGCCGGAAAGGAAAGCGAAAAAAAGCGAAATAAATAAGAAAATTTGTAAACATATGGAGATGCGGGGTATCGAACCCCGTACCTCTCGCATGCAAAGCGAGCGCTCTACCATGTGAGCTACATCCCCGTTGGTGGAAATACCGAAATAAATAAATATAACATAAAATAAAAATAATAAAAATTCAAGAGATTGCCATCCGTTCATTAATCCAGAAACCAATGGCCACGTTGTCTTCATATTGGACACGTGGCAACATCCCAAAACAAGTGTCATGGGGCCAACTGCCACAACTCCCTAGCCACGTTCTCCCCATGCAATGGTCCCACAAGTCTTTATATAGTCCCTACATGTCTCCTTCTTCTTCTCACAAAGCACAGAGAGTTGCAGTTTGCGTCCGTTACTAGTTGTGAAGATGCCGGGACTCACAATTGGAGACACCATCCCAGACCTTGAAGCTGAAAGCACCCATGGAAAGATCAAGCTCTACGACTACTTGGGTGACAGCTGGGCCATCATTTTCTCCCACCCCGGTAGTTAACCTTAATTACTTACTAATTCCTGTTGTTAATTTGCTTCATTAGTTTTATTATGTGATTGCATGTGCATGCGTGTAGGCGATTTCACGCCGGTTTGCACGACGGAGCTCGGGAAGATGGCCGAGTATTCTCCGAAGTTTCGAGAGAAGGGAGTGAAGCTTGTGGGTTTGTCATGCGACGATGTTCCTTCTCATCTCGAATGGATCAAGGACATCGAAGCCTACAACGTAAGTTCTGATTATTCAATATGTTTGATTGACGCTCTAATTTCGGCTAGTGTTTCCAACACTCATTTTTTTAGTATGTTTCACTCAGTTTTTTGTTATGTAAGATATGCATGGGTTGTTTACACACACACACACACACACACACACACACACACACACACATATACATATACATATATACATATGTGTGTTTTGTGTTATGCAGTCCGGGTGCAAGGTGGACTACCCGATTCTGGCAGATCCGAAACGAGAGATCATTAAGCAACTTAACATGGTGGAGCCGGATGTCAAGGACTCCTCAGGAAACCCAGTTCCCTCGCGCGCTCTTCACATCGTGGGGCCTGATAAGAAGGTACTTAGGCGTACTTACGTGTGCAAAGGCTAAACTTTGGGGTTACTTAATTTTGTTTGGTTATAGGTGAAGCTGAGCTTTCTGTACCCGGCGAGCACGGGGCGGAACATGGACGAACTGGTGAGGGTGTTGGAGTCGCTGCAGAAGGCGAACAAGCACAAGGTGGCAACCCCCGCGAACTGGAAGCCGGGGGATCCGGTGGTCATTTCTCCGTCGGTGTCTGAGGAGGAAGCCAAGAAGACGTTCCCTCAGGGCTACAAGACTATGGACCTCCCGTCGAAGAAGGGGTACCTCCGCTTCACAGACGTTTGATAATGTTAAATACTGTGGAGAGATCCGAAAGAATGGAGGAGTAGTATGTAACATTAAGTATGTGCCCTTTGTTTGTGACTGGTGTCTAAATATGTAGTGGTTTCTGTGGCTGCTGCTACCCTTTGTGTAATCAAGTAATGAAGCATATTATCAATAATATCATGTGTGCGGATCGATTCTGTGTTTTTTTATGCCCATGAGGGAGGGGATGGCGAGTTCTACAGGTTAAGCTTAATTGGTTTATTTTTGGGATCTTTTATTCTAGGGTAATGCTAGGTAAACTAAATTTAGAAGCGAGTTTTGAAAACTAAAAGATATGAAAGTTGATGATTGGTTGATTACTTAAATGTTGATAAATTTGTTTATTTCTATTGCTGACGCATCATTTAGTTTGTAAATTTAATCTTTTTAGCATTATTTTTTATTCTAAATACCAATTCTAAGATAAATATATGCCTAGCATATCATCTTTTTAGTTTAGAAGCCAGCACTGGCAACACAGAAAAGTTAGCATTTGGTTGTGGGAGTGTTACTGCGTGAGGGGTTAAACTGTTTTGGAAAGTGTTATAATGTAAATTTACGTAGAACTCACACAATAGCGGGGATAGCTCAGTTGGGAGAGCGTCAGACTGAAGATCTGAAGGTCAGGTGTTCGATCCACCTTCACCGCATTTCTCCTTTTACTATTTATTTATTTATTTATTTTAATTATTTATGCCCCCAAAGCCATCTTTTTGGTCCTACATTTGAAGCTCAAGTGGATTTTAAATTTCAAACCACGCTGCTTAAGTTCTTTATTATCGCCGTTTAGTATTACAGTTTATTAGTATTCCTCTTCACTTGTAAGTGAGAGGTCTTAAGTTCGATTATCGTCAAAGGCGAGTTTGAACCACATTATTGCTAATTCATTGTAAGGCTAAGCCCACTTCCTCTCCCTTAGTGTAAATAATATCGTTTGTTAAAATAAAATAAAAAACTTTATTATCGTATTAATTCAATAACATAAAGATCTTAGGACCTGATGTGAATAATATCCTTAGTTAAAAAAATTAAAAAAACTTTATTATCATATTAATTCAATAACATAAGGATCTTAGGACCCGGCATTCCTCTTTTACTGAGAAACAAGGGATGTAGACAAGAAACGCGACGATAATACGGCCCGAGATATGTAGAAAATGTGCAGGCATATGTATACACAATGGGAACAAAAAAACCAAACTAAAACAAACCAATTATTAAACGAGCCCCTTAAAATTAGAAGTTGCATATATGGCAGCACTACTCTAATTTTTGAGTTTCCAGAAATCATAAGTTAACATTCGATCAAAGTAATTTTTGTTTTGTCAGACGATAGATTTGCTAGTAAGTTACATTTGATCAAAGTAACTTTTACTAACTAGAAAATTGCTACTAACATCTCTCCCTTTAACATCCTTAACCCTATGCATTCAATTTAGTTAAGGTTTCAAAACGAACCAAAGCAATAAAATTACGTTGTTATTCGATTTGGCTCAAGATTACATGTTTCTAGTGTTATAGTTAAAATCAAACCAAATAATTCTTTAGTCGGTTTGAATGGTTTGGACAGAACCCTACATGTCGAGCCTTTTACCATAGAACTTAACAAATCATTTGTTATTTGTCACTTAACCATGGTGAGTAGGATGTGCCCCATGAGTCGAGAGCCAAACTTAAATTCTCAATACAACTAATTATCATCATAGCGTAGTTTGCCTAGTTATAAACTCACGCCACCAATCTCGCTCCATGTCCTCGCTGAAGCCACTATGCTTTCTGGCCTGTTTTTCAACTTGTGGATCCCATCACAGCCACAGTAACTAACTTTTCATTTTTCACACACATCGAACATGTGGTGGTCTCAGTCAAAACCACTCATCTCCACCGTCAACCTCCTCCTATCCCTCCACCTCCACCTCCACCTCCACCTCCTTCCCACTCTCACTCTCTTCTCCTATCCCGCCCTCCTCAACTGCTCCATCGACTCCCCTGTCCTCAACAACTACAAGTCCCTCTGCTTCAACTCTCCGGCCACTCCTGCGACGAGCTTTATGACTCCTGCAACACCTTTTGGATTTTCCGTTCCGGTTCCGGATCAGCTACTCCCCCAATCCAGGAGGATTTTTAGCCAACGGTGCTAATAGTACTAGTACGACTGCTGCTGCTGCTGCTACTATTTCTCCACCATGTTGTTTTACAGGATACGATACGGTGAAGTTCATGAGCATGAGTATCTTGGACTGCACGCATTATACGAGCGTGACGAATACAGACGAACTGAAAGGGTTAGGGCCGTTGGATTGGATCTACGGGATTAAGCTGAGCTTCGCAGTGCCGGATACCGGGTGTGGATGTGTGAGAGGTGTGCGCAGTCCGGCGGGACCTGTGGGTTTGATGCCGAAACTGAAGGGTCTCTCTGCCTCTGCTCAACTTCCTCCAATTTCATAAGACAATGCGGTAGGCTTATCAATATTTTATACATTTTCGATGTTTATATTGTTTTTTTTTTATTTGAATCGATAATAGATTAGTCACCGACAAGATTTGAATCCATACTGTCATGCAAAGGCACAACATTGTTCCAATACTGTGGTAAAGGGCCACTAGCTCAATATTTATATTGTTAAACTATGAATTTGGATCGCCTATTGAGCTAAAATTAACTTTTATCAATGATTCAGATTCACAGTCTGCAACGTTCTTCATTAAAAAAAAAAGTTAAAACTCCTTATGTCCTCAAAGAAATTTGTGGTTCACCTTGACCCTAAGATGAGATAACTCATGAGTCGATTTTATACTATATATTATTCCCTATTCTTGGTATATTTTGGTGAGATTTTGATGTTTTGCTATGTGTTTTTAATGTAGGACACGCGAACTTGTTTTGAGCATAAATTAATCAAACGGTGGAATTTTTGAGTGATTCCAATTGGAGCGGGTTCATGATTTTGTCAAGAAGGTTGCATCAAAATTTCATAATTTTATCCCAAAGCATTTGATCGTGGCGAATTAATTTATGCCTAGAGTGCAGTGCTAACAAATTGGGCTGCAGAGCTTATTTGGGCCGGAAGATGATGGATTTTGGTCTTGGGCTTTTCTTGGAACTTGAAGAGGAGGTCCTAATCTTTAATTCAAGTCGTTTTGGACCTGTTTTGGAGCCATTAAAGTCCAGAAACGTGGCTATTTCTGTGCTGGACAAATTTCCTAGTTAGATTTGGAGTGTGTTTATTTTCTATGATGGTTTTAATTCGGAGTAGTATAAATAAGGCTTTTTAGCCATTAAGTTTTTTTTTTTGGTTGGGGGGGTGGGGGGGGGGGCCCGGGGGGGGGAGGGGGGGGCGGCGGGGGACGCAACATTGAGAGAATTTAGCATTATTTTGGAGAACTTCAGACTTTACCTACAAGGTGTTTTCAATCATTTTTCTAGTTAATATGTTTTCTTTAGTTTTTATAGTTGTTCATAACTAATTTTCGTTTGCTAGGATGAAGCCATAAGCCTTAGCATGAATATGTGATTTTATTAATTTGCTTATGAATGGATGCATGCTTGCTTTGAATTATTAATCACCACAATTAAACTATCTAATTGTCTTAGTGATTCGCGACCATTAGGTTTTTAGACAAGTAATTTGATGCAATTTATGTTAGAACATCATCCTGAAATTAAGGATAACTTCTAGTGATCAGTAATTGTAAGTTCACTTAAGGCGAACATCACGCTCTTAAGTGTTGCATGGTTTTTCAAAGAGTTTTCACAAAGCTTAATGAGTCTTGTATGTTTATATTTGATCTGAACACCACAGACAGATTGCATGTTAGATATATGTTTTCGCTTGAACATCACAAGAAAAATATGTATTAAGAAAACCTAACCTTCAAAGCATGTATGTAGAAATTCATAAGTAATTTGGTAAAATTGCATAGGATTGTTAATGGTGATGGTAGAATGCCAGAACCCTAGTGTTTAAATTATTTTCCATAACTGTTTTCTTTTGCTTTCTTTACTTTGTTGATCTATTTAATTGTTTTTAGATTAAATTCGTTTTTATTATTTTAAATTTCAAGATCAACCTTTTCGAATCTTTGTTCTAAATAATTAGCTAAGGATTAGTTTAAATACAAATTATTCATTCAATCCATGTGGAAAACAACCTTGCTTGAGCATCTATACTACAATAACCTTGTACTCTTGTAAGTATTTTTAAATGTTTTTATCCCTACTTTTGCATGTAGTAAAAATCCTATCATAATTTGTTACCAAAAAAAAAAAAGTTGTCAATAGAAAAAAATTGAAACGTAGACCCGAGCTAAAGCCGAGTTAGCTGTTGCAATGTGTTCACCGCAATTTAGATAAATTAGTGTAAAGCATACAGCACCAAATGGGTTGTAATTTGATGATAATTTATGGAAAAAAACCCAAGGTAACTGTAAAATATAGCACCATTGGTAAAACTTTAAACCTGTCAACTACTCTGAAATTTTGACCATCAGCTGCCCCCGTTTCATAAGAACCCTAGAAAACTAGGTCAGATAAAACTTGACTACTGGTTAAGTAAGGAAAAAGGAAATCTGAGCCATATACAATTCTGCTTTTTCCCATTTCTCCCATCCTTCCTGCAATTGACAAAATTTCCCCAGTAAAAAAAACCACGACGGCCGTTACATATAGGCGAAAATATTACGGGTAGGGCGACAAAAATAGGCCATACAGCCTTTGGTTTACTCCATTCAATTACTTGACATGGTGGAAGTTGATCATTGACCTTCATTGTGTGCACGCAGAACTTCATCTATAAATTTTTCGTCGGAGCTTTCATTTTGATTCGAGGCCTGGTTCTCCCCGTCCGCAATCTGTTGATAATGAATATATACATCAACTTTCGAATAAACAGCAAAACATTATAGCGTGCATGATCTACGTTGGAGAAATTATTCCTGAAAAAAACAGCAGGAAGCTCTTCTAGTTTCCATGAAGTCCCCCCACATTTCGAATTTTGAAGATTTATCTATACATTTGCGTGTGCGCATGTATATTTTTGAATACATATACAGTGAGAGGTTACCTCAAGTTTCTCAAAGTTTGAAAGTAGCCTCATGTATTGTTCACGCGCTTCAGGCTGACGAGCCATGGACCGTACCCTTGCGAGAGCTTTCTCAACCCCAGCAAATTTCTGCTTCCGACCGACACTAAGAAATTCATAGTCATCATTTTTCTTAACCTCTGAAGATGCATCTTCAGTAGGCTTTTCCACCCGAAATCCTCGCAAACCAGTTCCTTTTCGCCTCCAACGCAGTATAACCTTTTCCAGTATACCAACAGACCACAAAACCTTTTTGTAATTCTTCCGAACCTGATGTCCCCTCACATGAGCCTAAAAGCAACAAACAGAGTCGATGATTTAGAGCACCATCTATACTGAAGGTACACCCAAGTCCCACAAAAACAAAATTTCAAATGGTCACAGTATTTCAAAGAATAGATAACTGTGACACATTGTATTGTGAACATGCAGGGTCGGAAAACACATTGTGCAGTCAATGCATGCCCACAATTGAAATGCATTAGTCTGGAACATAACTAAGCAAGCAATGACATGCGCAATTAGTAGCAAAAGGATGAGGTACCTGAATTTTAACAATACGGTCACGAATCTTCAGATAATCCTTTCTTCCCTTCCATCCACGATAGTTTTGTTGGATCTTCAGAGCTGCTGCGACATGCAGATAATCCTCATAGTGAGCGAACTTCTGGACTCTCTTCAAGGAACGACGTGCAACAAGGTCCTGAGACTGAACTTCAGAAATATCTGCTCTGCTCTTGGTTAACTGTCTCTGACGAAATGAACGAGCCCGGAAAGCCTCTTGAATTAGAGCAGCCGCATGAGCTGATTTCCTAACAGCTGCTATAGGGTTTTTGAGAAAATGTTGCTCATCTACTGCAACATCAGATGCAGCAACTTCTGCAGTCTGTTTGGCCTTCTCAGCTGCAATAGTTGCGGTAGCATTGTTCATTATATTCTCATTCATGGTCAACAACTCTAGGTGACTGGTTAAATCCGCTTCTGCCAAATATCCAGCAATCCCTTTATGCCCTCTACTCGAGGCTAGATCAGCAGCAGTTTGTCCGCCAGGAAACACAGATGTTGGGTCCTCAACGGCTCCTGGAGCGGCACCCAATCGAAGCAACGCAATGACAGTTTCCTCTCTATAAAAGGATTGAAAAAAATTAAGAGATTAGTGTTACATAGAGATCTATCCATGTCGCATAAATAAAGTGTTAAGATGGCATAGCTGACCCTGTTACCCATCCTCAGAAAAGGTAAGATAACATTCACTTAATCTTATATACTAAAGCAATATTAAGAGAAGAATGAGCTAGAAATGCAGTATTTGAATTTAATACTGATCACTCCATATATATTGCAAGTAGATAATGAATATGATTGGACATATAAAAGAGAAGAATCTATAACAGCAACCGTACCTTCCAAAATATGATGCCCAGTGAAGCCCTGTTCTTCCGTGAGCATCTCTGAAATTGGGACTGACGCCTGCAGCAATTATGGGACCTATGGCCCACTCGTAACCAAGAGCACCCGTCAAATGTAGAACACCTTGGCCTTCATTATCCAGAACATGTAGTCCTTTGCCTCCTTCATGAATTTTACAGACTAGCCATTCACAGAGTCTATCCTTCAACAAATTCTGAATCAAGACATCCCTACGGCTCAAGTGATCACTTTCGCATGCCATAGAAGCCCCATCAATTGTTACCCAATCACTTTCCCTGTTGCTTCGCATTGAAAATATGGAACTTTTGAGCTTACATTTATCACAATCTGGAACAGCACATATCAACCACTTCCTCTCTGAGCCCAAGCTCAACAATTTTGCTAGTCGTATCTGAAAGCATAATTCATCATCTCTTAACCTGTTGATAGCTATTCCAATGGGTTTTTCACGGTATTCAAACTCCCTAATTTCACTGCAGGCTAACCTATTTCTGCCGGTCACATAGAATGGAACACGCCCGGGAGCATGCAGAGGAGTTTGACATCTAATGGCATTGTTAGATAGAATTTCAGCAGAAACTTCTATTTCACCAAACATGCATCCCCAGTTAGTGTCAGCACAATCCTTCTTGCTTCCCAGAAAACTGCCAACTATTAAAACCTGAAAAGGAGGAGAGGCAAAAACTGAACAATGTCAATGTCTATGTATTGTGGACATTTTTTTTTTATAGAAATAAATAAATAAATTATAACAAAAATACAAACTGTATACATACCTTTGTTTCAGTTCCTGAATAAGCCCAATCTGGTGAAAAATCAGAAATAGTAAATAGTTGTTCTTGGGAAAGAGAAGGACCCAGTGACTCTATATCCAACTGCATATGGTGTGATAAACTGGACACTTCCTTATCACCACTCTCAGCATCAAATGTACTC